TAGATGTATCTGAGGTTTTATAGACCTAAACACTTTGAAATCTGTTTGAGTGAAATACCCCATCACCACACTAAAAGGAGCTCTCAATCAACCATCTAAAATGAAAAAGAAAACACATGCTGATCTGGCAAAGGCCTCACAAGAACAATTGTAGTGTATTGACCAATCCTAGTATGCATTAAATTTGACCGTGAATGTAGTTAGTTTCTTCCTGTTTGACTCTTTCACAATTGTGTGTGGTTATTTTTTTGTTACGTGGCATTTTAATTTTTCTCCTCCCTTTTTCTACTTTATTTGACTTGATGTCTGGAGCAGGGTCTCAGAAAAGCAGGTTGCTTGAGTTTTATTAAGACATACATTCTGACCTTTGACCTTACATAAGAAATTCAAGTGGATCAAGTAATGACAAGTGCATCCTTCTTATTTTATTAAGATTCAACAATTCCTAAGGCTGACTTCATTTCTGGCTACGCTTCCCTGCAGTCTCTGGATTTCCTTGCTCTCCACTTCAAGACACTGGTATAGCGTACCATGCTGTGAATGGATCTGTCCCTTCCTACATCCAGGACATGGTTAAACCGTACACCCCAGCACGTGCACTCCGCTCTGCATCAGCCAAACGGCTCGCTGCACCCTCACTGCGAGGGGGACCCAAGTTCCCATCAGCAAAAACACGTGGGTTTGCTATCCTGGCTCCAAAATAGTGGAATGAGCTCCCCATTGACATCAGGACAGCAGAAAGCTTACACATCTTCCGGCGCGGACTAAAAACTCATCTATTACTAACTAAAATTACTAACAAAGCACTTATATACTAATAAAGGACTGGCTTATCTAAAGCCAGTTGAGCAGCACTTGAAATGTTTTGGCTCTATGAAACCTGATGCACTTATATGATTCTGTTTTCTTCAAGTTTGTATCTTCTTGGTCGAATGCACTTATTGTAAGTCGCTTTCAAATCAAATCAAATCAAGTTTTATTTATATAGCACATTTATAAACGATTTTTGGTCGAGCCAAAGTGCTGTACATAAAATAAAAATAGCCTACAGTAGAGACACTTTACAGCAAATACAACAGCACGGATTGTTCAGAATATCAGTATGAGAAAAACGACACCCTCTATCCTTAGACCCTCACATCGTACAAGGAAAAACTTCCAGAGAAAAAGCTGGATAAAAGCATCAACTAAATGCAATGTAATGTAATGCAACTTGAAAAGGGTTACACCTTTCAATGTGGATTTCAAGTATCAGTGTTGATCAGAGTGTTGCTATAACATCTCTATATTTGTGTTCAATTTGAGGAAGTGACAGAGCATTCTGCTGTACTCGCTACCCTCACTGGTGCAGAGCGATCAGGACTTCCTCAGAAATGTTTCGCTCTAAGCTGAGTGGACAAAACCCAAATTAGAGAAGGTCAAAGGAGACCACTTCTGGCTGCTGACACAGTGTGGCATTGGATTATTACGTGTAGTATTTTGTCTTTGGATCTTCAATAAAAATGACAACATTAAGGAACTTTGAGATAACACCTGAAGTTAATCCATTCTGTGAGATATTAACACCCTCATTTGTTCTATAATAGCTACCTGTTTTTGTTCTATGTTTGATTTACGCCCAACAGGATGTTTAAAAAAGATTAGACCATATCACAAGTTTGTGGGAATGTGACATAGCAAGGGAATGAATAACGAGGAAATTATTGAACATGTTTTTTCACATCCTTCGTGGCACTGCTTAAAGGCCTGCAAATACAGGCTTACAGGCAATTACTGTGTGTTTTATATGTGAAATAATGATAGCATTAGAGTGGGTTAAATCTCCTTTTCTCCTGACAACATTTTAGACAAATGTAATAAATGGATAAATGAAAATGACTCTGCTAGACATTCTGTTTATTTCCTGGAGCACAATCATCCATATACAGTCAAGCACATGTTTAGCCTTGAAGCTATCTCCTCAACACTTTCCATGGTGTGTTTAATGCCTACTGTACAAATAGGGAAAAACAATTGAGATCAGTCGACTGCCTCCTCCACATTAAGAACAGCAACACACACAAAGTCCACCACTCATCGCAGACACTCAATACAATAAAAATGTTGTCAAGATAAGAAGGAATCTCTTCTGGTCCTTTTTACCAGGAAAGAAAGCAATAGCTAACAAGCAGTAAACTTAACAATCTTATCATAACATTAACTCAAGTTACGTTAAAAGCTCTGTTGTTCAAACATTAGCGTTCCTTGTTACTTTCTTAACAGCTTTAACACTGACCAACAATTTCAAGGGGCATACGAAGCATCATCGGGGTCGAGAAAAAATACTTGTTTTAACAGAAATCAGACAAAAAAAGCGACAACACTGTGCGGCTGCACTACAGCCCTACAGTTTTTTCGGTCTCAGGTTTGTAGCAGGCCAGGTAGTTCAGTCCTCTGCTCGTCCATGCGTCCCCCCTGGACCCTCAGCAGCAGGGAGAAAAAATCCTCATCATCCATTGGACCGGGAGCCCTGCTGCGCTGATCCTCCAGCCTACCCTGGGCCTGAGGTTGGAAAATAAATGCCAGAACTAATGTTTGAATATTTTCAAATCATGATAAAAGCATTGTATCAAACTATTTACAAATTACTCACTTGTGTCGAGAGAATCATATTATAGAGATCCTCTTTGGGCACGGGCACAGGCACTGGTGCAGGCGCCGGCCTTCTTGCAAAAGAGAGTTGCCTAATGCTGCCCCTGAAACTTCTGCCTTTTGATTTTGGTGGCTGAGACTTTTCGAGCTGTGCCCTCTGGTCATCGAGCCGGCGAGCTTGAGCGGTGGCCACCAGATCAAAAAACTCTTCTTTCTGAAGTGAAGTCATGGAGGAAAACACAACTGTGGATAAAAGTGAGAGAAAAGCTTTGATGGTCAGATGGTGGAAGACATTAAGTTGTCAAGAGAGACGTAAAAACATGAGGGTGAGTGTACGTATGTAGTTTCATGTTGTTTTATCTCAAACAACAGGAGTCAGCATTAGAAACAATGCAATGACTGCACCCATATTATCACTGTAACACTGTAAAGCAAAATAGGGCTTTTCAAAGCACACTCCCACCTCTGTGTGCTGGCCTGTTGGCGTTGGGCTCAGAGTGGCACCTCCTCCTCATCCCACTCTCCAGCCTGAAGGAGCAGCGCTGGTCATTGAGGCGTCTCCCCTCCTGAAGGGTAAAGAGCAGCTCGTACAGTGCCTCTGGGAAGTCGGGGGTTAACCTGTGAGCCTGAGAAAACACAGGTAGGAAGAAGAGAAAGCAAGAAGGAGGGAGTAAGGGTTTCTCAGTTAGCATCACAAACTGTTTGTTGGCAAAGCAAATGTAATCCTTCAACTCCTACGTACTCCCACATGCTCTGTAACAAAATGACACCTGCTGTTTCCACCATGGGTTTTTCTCTAGCCCAATTGTCAAGAACATGACAAACAAATACATGCTTACAATTACTATAAAGGTAATCTCAGGGCCTATAATGAAGTCAAAGTAAAATAATAAAAATATAAAAACCTTTGTTGGATCATCCTCTTGGTTTTGTGTCCCTTCACGTTGTTTTACAGAAGAATTTAACCTGTTTACGTCCACTTGAGGGTCATTCTGTGTGACCTTTTCATGCTCTTTGTCACTTGGTTTCTCCGGTATTTTATAACTCCTCATCACCACATGTGTCTGCCCTTCACTCTCAATCTCACCCCTGTTTTGTCCATCATTTATGTTATTTGGTGTTCCCTCTTTAGTCACAACAACCCCTCCAGTCTGGTCTTCCTCTTTGTTGGTTTGTTGTTTTTCGGGGATCTGCTGTTCCAAACACATTTGACTTGCTGCCTTTTTTCCGTTATTGCCAGCTTCGTTGTGTTCCTCTTTCAGAATCGACTCTCCGCTGCAGCTCTGAAGGATGACAGCAGAACTACTCGCTGCCCCTTTGTCAACAACACTTTCCGTCATGTCTTCCTCTTCGGTGATGACAAGACGTTCCAGCAGCCCCTCTTCAGCCATTTCAACTTTGATGTTTGTGCAGTCTATTAATCTCACTGTCAACCCTTGATAAGAAGATACACATAAACAGGGGTTTGGTTAAAGACTTTTTTGAGGACCCCATTGTTAATACTGCAACCAAACATGTTAAAATACTTGGAATAGAGAAATGAAAACTGAAGCTGAGTCTTTTCCTTGCACAAAAATGTATGAGGAACCAGTTTGGCAAGTTGTAGCATGTTGACTACAGATGTTTAAGCCGAAAATCCAACAGTAAGACATATATTCCTGTGTGGTTTAGCCTGATAACATGATTACATGAAATCGAAACTTCTTGTTGTCGATTCATTTCTGTTTGAAATTTTGCCAAAGGTAATTTTTGTTGTTTTGTCTGAAAAGTAGACTTTCGGCAAATTAATTCAGTAAATTAATTCTTACCTTTGTATTTTAAACTTTTCTCTTCAAATCATCATCTCCTGAAGTCCCCGGAGACGGACCACAGCATGTTTGGCTTGATTCTGCCTCGTTAATAACTTTAAACAAGAAAATAAACTTGCTAAGAAGAGTTTGGCATGTCGAAGTGACAAGCTCTCACCCTTTCTGCCTGCCGCGCTACCTTCTCTCGCTCGTCTCCTCTCTTCCTGTTCCTCTTACCACAGCCCACCCTTATTTACTTGGCCCGTATCTGACACGCCATGCTATTGTGAAATAAAGGTGTCAAACGCAGGAGGAACCCAGGTCATGCATTTGATGAGGCTAGGTATGGTCCAAACAAAGGTTATTATCAACATTTGAGAGAAACTTTAAGCTGTCAGCAGCTGCCGCTTTAAGTGCTTCTCATTTGTTAACTGCAACATGTTGAGACAGGCGCGCAACTCTTCTGACACTGATGTGGTTTTGGCTCACATCCTGTTGACGTGCAACTAGAACGAGAAGTAGACTCGGGCAAGTGAGAGAAGGTTTTTCTAAGTGATCACATCAAACCAGACAAATACAAAATCATTGAATGTTGATAAGTGCATAGGATGAAACTGGAGCCCAATATCTACATTTTTTAAAGATCAACTAATTTATGTTATTCCCTGATACGCATACTTATTTCTTTGAGTACATATGTTTTGTTGTTGCAGTTTATTTTAACTCAGCAGGTTCACTGCCTACCACATGCAGTGCACTGTGTAGACATGGCTTGTACCTTTTCCTGTCTCTCGCTAGGGGACCCTGCTTTGCACGATGCCTCGGATCAGGCAGTGTTGTGTGTCTGTGAGCACAGTCGGGCAGCAGTCGTCGCCACTGTGCGTCGCTGAAGATGTTGCAGCAGCAGCCTCTTACGGGCAACGGGCCCTCCAGCGGCCGGGGTCTCGGCTTGAGTGGCCACCCCGGAATGCATGCGCTCAACTCGGTTCAGCAACCTTCGCAGCACCGGTCCGATGACTCGGCCCTCGAGGGCACAGAAAACGGACATGAAAACCGCAGAGATATTGGTGACATACTGCAACAAATTATGACTATCACCGACCAAAGTTTGGACGAAGCGCAAGCAAAGTTAGTGAAAACTATTTTTTTGTATCTATATAAAAGTGTGTCTATACTGCAGCCGTCTTTTTGTTTTTGTTTTGCCGACTAACAGTGACAAAGTTTCCTGAACTTCAATGCATTGTTTAGATAATGTAGCCAGTAGCTAACTAAGAAGCAAACGTTAGCGAACTAGAATACGCTTTATTTGGTTAAAACCTGTTTTGATATATTATTATTTATGACAGAAATGTTAATAGTTGCTGCCATTTACAAAAGCTATATTTAGCAGGGATGGTCTCAAGCGTACGGTTAGCTTTTGTTAGCTTGCTAGGCTAACTAGCTGAAGCTACAGTAGGTAGCTTACAGGTAGCGCTGATGCAAATGTTTATACAATAAATGATTTCATATGTAAAGACCTACTACGTGAAACAAAAATGATAAGATGACCAAACTTACTGGTTGTCGTATACAGACATTGCCAGTGAACATTTGCCTCCTTAGCTCTTAGCTTGTGAGAAGCTAACGTTTGCTAAATTAGCCACGGTGAAGCTAACCTAGTGGGTATTATGTTGTGTTTTTGTTTTGGTCAATTTGCATATCGTCACTATACTTCTGCTTGCATTTAGCCTGTTAGCAATAAGTGACGCTCTTTTCTTTCTGCACAGGAAACATGCACTTAATTGTCACAGAATGAAGCCTGCTTTATTCAGCGTCCTTTGCGAGATCAAGGAAAAAACAGGTAACGTTATTTTCCTAAAAATATTTTTTTTTATGTCAGTCGTATTGCATTTCATGACAAATTACCGCCTTACTGCGTTTTGCTATACATGGGCTTATGCCTCGTTGCAGCGTTATTAGACTGTGTTGACAGTGTGTCACCAGAAGCCAATAAAATCATAGTAAACCATACACACAGACAAAAGGGATTTCACGCAGGTTTTCAGTAGCTCATGATGTCTATTTGCAATAACAACAACAAACCTAGAGCCAGATAAATGTAATAATACAGCTATTATGTAAAATCCTATATGGTGTAAAAATAGAGACGATCTACAGCAGTTGGACAAAGAAACACACAATGCCTACAGGGAGGGATATACAATTATGTTGCTGGTTGATTTTATTTTAACTATATAGTACTTGCTAAAGTTAATGTTACAGTGCAATAAGGGGGGTGGTAGAAATGCTGCTAGATATTATTATGTATGATACAACAGCTTATTCAAAGGCATACATAAGAGAAAATCTACCATACACACTTTAATAAATCAACTCTGACCTACAAGTTCCACATGTAAAATGCATGAGTTGCACAGGCTAGACTGTGCAAAACTTTATCACAAGTTGACACAGTCCTCTGTTGATATGTCATCTTATGAAGCCAACTGACATTTGTCTTCTTGATAGGCCTGTCCATGAGGAATGCCCAGGAGGACGAGTCTCAGGATCCTCAGCTGGTGCGATTGGACAACATGCTGTTGGCAGAAGGTGTTGCAGGGCCGGAAAAGGGAGGAGGAGCTGCCGCTGCTGTGTCTGCGGCCACAAGCTCAGGAGGGATGTCACCTGACAGCTCGCTCGAGCACTCTGACTACAAAATTAAGTTGACCCAGATTCGCGGTATCTACCACACGGAGCTGGAGAAGTATGAGCAGGTACCGTGTAGAAACGGGAGACGATCGCTCACATTGCCCACACACGCATACCTGCACTAATGCTGCTCGCCAGAAGCGTAATTCATTGGCATGTTAGGTCTAGAGTTCAGTCAGTTACATTTCATTTGCCGGGTAATACACTTATCTCCTTATGTTGCTGATCAAAACACACCAGCTATAATTGACATATTTCTGTATGAAAGGAGGCTTTTATTTTATTAGCAGAAAACATATTCCAACCTTGACCAAAGCCCATCGTTTTTGCTTTCAAAACACTGTTTAGATGTGTTGAGAAATCCACTATTATAAGGCTACTCATCACCAACATACAGTACATAATAGGGGTGTAACGGTTCACAAACATTTCGGTTCGGTACGTACCTCGGTTTTTTGGTCACGGTTCGGTTCGGTACGTTTTCGGTACAGCAGAATTTTTTTTTCACAAAACATATATATATATATTTTATTATTATTAAACTGTGAATAATGTATTCACTCAAATAAATACAAAATATAATAAAATAACATTAAGGTGCAGCATTTCGATGAACTGAAATAATCTGTATTTGAACTTTACTGTAGGCTACTAGTACTCACAAAACATAAACTATTAGTTTTGGGTTTTTAATTATTATTAAACTGTGAATATTCACTCAAATACAAAATATAATAAAATAAACATTAAGGTGCAGCATTTCGATTAACTGAAATAATCTGTATTTGAACTGTACTAGCACCTAAGCAGCCAGTTTGACATTAGGACTTGCTTGTCATTGTATTTTCATGTTTTTTTTTAAAGAAAAATGAACTTGTCCACATTGCTTGCTGAAAGGGCAGATCTGCTGGCACTAACAATGTCTCCTGCTGTGGAGAACACCCTCTCTAGGGACAGAGGTAGCAGATACAGCCAGGTAGCGCTTTGCTAACATGACAACATAAGGATATTTGGCGTTTGTAATAGCTTTGGCTCGGTCTGAACTTGTTGCGAGTAGTGGAGGCTAACATGCTAGTGGGAGTTGGGTTTGCACTTTTTTCTTTTGGTACCGGTGATATTCACGTTCGGGTGATGCCTTTTCAAGAGTGTGCAAGTTTGATGTGTTGCCAGCCGCGTAACCAATGTTAGTTGAACAATGCCGACAAACAGCTTTGGTTCGGTCCACCTGTCTTTGTCCGTCATCCTTGTACGTAACTGCGAAACCAAAATGTTCCCAAACCGGAGACTTCAAGGATGCTGGACGATTTTCGAGCTCAACTTTATCTGCGTTCGCCATAAATTTTCGACAGTTCCTCAAATTACTGATTATTTGAACGCATCCCTCTGACCAGTATAGTATGCCTCTCATCCAATGAAATGACTTGCTCGCTCTATGACGCGTTGAACCCAATGTGAGCAAATTACTCTGAATGCGACGCAGCACCTGAGATTACTTCCAAAAAGTTGTTCACGTTCTCAATTTTTTACGTTTAACGTTATATTCGTTCGGTACACTTCGGTACACACCTGTACCGAACCGAAGGGCCCGTACTGAATAATTTCGGTATGGGTACGTGTACCGTTACACCCCTAGTACATAACTCTTTCAACACAAATATAAACCTTCTATAAACTGTTTAAATGTCAAATAACAACCCCTCTACAGTAAAGTTGTAAAGAGTTGCCTTATGAGTCATTCAATTTACCAGGGAACGGTTATGCTGGGATCTTTAGTAATTATGCCATTACTGTACATGCTTATACATGCTTACCTACAAGCAAGGCCATGTTGCACATTTGATCACTCATATTGAACTTGCATGAAATAATACACCTCAGTGCATTGCTTTGAGAATTTCCGCCCTTCACTGTTTGTCTAATGCACCCCAAACCTAGGCTTGCACAGAGTTCACCACCCATGTGATGAACCTGCTGAGAGAGCAGTCCCGTACGCGGCCCGTGACTCCGCGAGAGATTGAGCGCATGGTGGGCATCATCCACCGCAAGTTCAGCACCATCCAGACCCAGCTGAAGCAGAGCACCTGTGAGGCTGTCATGATCCTGAGGTCCCGCTTCCTTGATGCCAGGTAGGCGTGTGTAGTTGTTTTTTTTATTATCTTTTTATTTTCCTTTCTTTACAGGTTAACAAACATAGGAACAACACTCGCAGAAAAACAGACACATTTATGCATAGACAAATAAGAACACAAACGACATCACATCAGGGCTACTTGTCTCTTGCTCGCAGGCAAGAGCTCTTTAAAGGTCCCATGTCATGCTTTTCCGGTTATTACCCGTCCCCTTGTGTCTTATGAAGGTTTTTATGCATGTAAACAGTCTGCAGAGTCAAAACCCGCGAGGACAGAGGAGTCCTCAGGTATTAATTGGGATGTCCTCGTTCACTCAAACGTCACTCTTAAACGACGTCTGTTAATGATGACATGTGCACAGCTGTATCCCCTCTCATCGGGCTTAACTGAATAACCCTTTAGAACCGGCCCATTTGTTGTTAAATATTTATTTAAATGAATGAATCTTTCTCTTGTTAGTCAAGGAATTCAATGTATGATGGTGGGTCCTGCTTTTGTGTTCCGTTTTGGTGTAAAATGTAGCCTACAATTAAATAAAAATATTATTTATTATAATGTGAAAGCCTTACTCTGAAAATGTGTGTCCTGTAGTTCCCCACATTCACCAAAAACCCACATTCAGGACTGTGAATTTTAAATAATGTAACTCCTGAATATCTTAACACAAAACAATAAAAGTAATTGTTATTTATCAAGCTCTAGCCATTTATGAAATAGCTTTCTTAACCCTCTGAGACCCACATAGGACATTTCCGTTTTTGTATATTTTTGTGTTTTGCCTAATAAATTGTCATTTATTTGCAGTAAAATCAAGTTTTACACATCCCAGAAATCAGCACAACCTCAGCTAATGATATGTGTCACTCATTAGAGATTTATATACACTATAATAGGGGATATTTGCCCATAAATAAAAAACGGAGCTTGAATGTTTTACTTATTTCATTAAAAATAACTGCTAACCATAACATTGAAAGAAACATTCAACACAGAAAATTGAACACATTTATTATCATTGTATCATAACTGATTAGAAGATTCTAACTTATTCTGTTCTTTAGTTATGCCCATTCTTTTGGGCAGTGTCCATGTGCGTTTTTTTGCGAGGAATTGTCATTTTTTGTCCTGCCAATTTTGAAGAGTACACATGATATATCATGTCCACAATCACACACGGCATGCTGAGCAGATTCGTCTGAATTTTCATCAACATTGTCCCCTTGAAAAATCAGCTCCAAAGCCTCAGCTGTAGTAAACGTCCTTGCCATACCTCAGTTTACTTTCAAAACACTAAAAGAACGTATTCCAACTTTTATTTTGTTTTCGCGCGTGGAATTATACCGGCTCTCGTTTCAGTAAACATAACAACAGAACAGACAGGCAACCCTCTGAATCAGACTCCGATTGGCTGTGACTGCATCCACTCAGTGTCCGATTCAGAAATGTGACTCTTTCACTCTTTACGTCACAAACAAAGATGGTGGATGAGAATAGATCTATAAAAGAGAAAACGATAAGCAATGCGCCAGAATCAAGGTGAGACTATCTGCATCTTTTAAAACTCTACGCTCAGTCGCTTCACCAAAATAAGTAAACACCTCTCAATGAAAAACTTAATGGAGTTGTTTATTGCTGTTTCTGTAGTTTAAGAGGAATAACACGGCATGTCTCTGGCTGAAACAGCTGAGAAGTTATGACGCTTTGAACACAACGTGATCTTTGGGATCGTATACGGCCCTGTGGGTCTCAGAGGGTTAATAGCTATGTTTTAGTGACGTTCAAGATCATTAAACATGACTTAAATTGTTAGTATAACCTTAAGAAATGAATTGCACATAATAATTCCCAGCACTTATACATTTATGTGACGCTTTTCCACTCATTCTTCCATTTCTCCGTTTTCCTGTGTTGAAATCAACCAGCTGTGAAGATGGGGGCGGGGCTTTTATACGTGAGTAGTGAAAACACTTCCGCATAGTCTGCTCTCGTGTATCCTCCCTTTCGTCTCCTCCCTCACCCCTCCTCGAATCCTCCGTGTGCATTTCAAGTATTGGGACGTCCTTCAACATGGCATGTCTTGATCGATTTCCGGGTCAAGTCCCGGAGGAGGGGAATAGAGGAGTCGAGGAGGGGTATTGAGATGAACCTTTTGTTTTCCGAATGCCAGGAAGTATTCTTGCCAAGATGCTCGGCAGACATGTGCTACCAAGCAAGCGTACTCGAGATTGAGAAACACCCCGTGTTCTTCCATTAAAACTCCCTCCAGGTCTGGGAATTGGTTGTCTTCCATTGTTGTTTACATATTTGTCCCCATTCTTTTGTCGTAATAGTGAAATGTGCTTCTCGCTCCCACTTTTCCTTGATGTAGGATGTATCTATCAATTTCGAGTTCTGTAAACCAATATATATTTTTGCTATTAACCTCTACACAGTTCCGAATTGTACGCATCTACAAATACCCAGTTGTTGTCTTTTTTTAAAGGAATACTGCAATTAATTATTTTGAGCTTCATGTAATCAACCCTGAAGGCTTGCAATGTGGACCTGAAAAGGTTGCACATTCCCCTTTTTGAAAAACATTAACTTTTGGCAGCTTGGATACTCCACAGTTATTTTGGTCTCAAATGGCAAATGAGTATCTATGCAGAAAACATCAGTGTTTCCCACAGATATGAAATATACTTGGGCGGGTGGTGGCAGAAGGCAGGGGGGGGGGGTGCGCGAAAAAAAAAAAAAAAAAAGTTTTAACAACATGTTTATTTATTGACTTTTCATTCCGGTATAATCATTTTGCACAAAGATGGCACTGTTTGTCAGAGCACTTCATCCTTCTGGGATTTCATGAAGAACAGCTCCAACGCCTGTGTGTATGGGAACGCCTCTGGTGCTGGTCCATTAACTGCCAGTGTTTCCCACAGATCTGAAATATACTTTGGGGGGTGGTGGTAGCGGGGGGGGGGGGGGGGGGTGTTGAGGTGACGTGCAACAACATTAACATTAACCTTTCTGTTGGTCGCTTGTTAGCAGACCCTTCACGCGATGGCAGAGCGAACAGGTACAGGTACAGGCAGGGCCCATAATGATAGCCCTATAGTTTAAATCTACTACCCACACATGAACATATGGAAATGGGTTACTATTTTAAAAAATAAATGTATTTATTAATGTATTTAGGAACCTATCCATGTGATTTTTAGTGGGGGTCGACCTCAAATCCTCTAGGGGGGGTCCAGGGGCATGCCCCCCCGGTAAGATTTAATTTTTTATTTTGGAGTTAAATGCATCAATCTGGTGCATTTTGAGGGGAAAATAAAGAGACTAGATCTATGGAAACACCTATATGAAACAGAACTGTATACATTTCAATAATCATAAAATCATGGCCATAGAAAAAAACACTGAAACTTGTTTATTAATTTATTTTTGGTTCATTTATAGTTGTGAGTGTGTCTGTGCTCCTGAATCAGCCTCTCCTGTCTCCCTCCTCTCCCCCCTGCTCCTCTTTGAGGCAGCAGCAAAGACTAGTTTTCTCTCAACAAGTTTTAAAAGTGTATCTTACCTTTTTTCACCTAGTTAACTTTTTATTTATTTATTCATGCATATTTTACTAATCACATTACATTTCATTTAGCTGACGCTTTTATCCAAAGCGACTTATAATGACCGATTACAGGGACATTCTCCCTGGAGTAACTAAGGGCTAAGTGCCTTACTCAAGGGCACACTAGTGGTGGTGTTCCTGGCGGGATTTGAACTCACAGCCTTCCGATCTTCAGCCCACCTCACTCTCCATTAGACCAATCACTACCCTCTCAAATGGAAATATGTGTTTACATAATGGTGACCACACCGTTTGAGACCCCACTGAGAACTTAGACTAAGTTAACTATCTAAACACTCAGAGAGTGCTTTACCTCACCTGAGCTGAGGTTATCCCGAGCTTGAATGACACACAGAGACCAATCAAGGGCTTTGATTTATGATCTGTATGACAGTGGCCATGTCGGCAGGTCACATCATGTGGACAGCCAGTCCCCCTGTGTGAGGCAGGCCACTTAACAGGCCAGAAGGAGGCGAGATCAGAGCAAGGGAGCGAGGGATCATTGTCTACAAGTTAATCGATCGCAGATGGCGTCATGGTCACGGACGTATAAAAAAAAAAATAAAGAAAAAAAAAAAACCTAAATGGGTTGCGAAATATACTTGGGCGGCCGTTAATATACCTGGGCAGCCCGCCCAAGTATAGTCTATGTGTGGGAAACCCTGAACATGTACATAGTACAGAGTATTGTACAGGGTGTCGTATTGTCATACTGATATTCTGTACAAACTGTGAAGACCACTGAGACAAATGTAACATTTGTGATATTGGGCTATATAAATAAACATTGATTGATTAATAATCAGACACGTGTCCTAACTTGAGAATTAATTTATTTTCATACAAATATTTGAAGAAAAAAACCGCTTAGACTAACAGTATCTAAGAAATGTCAATGGATATTTAGTGTTATCATAATTGTGTGGCCTCTTCTCTTTATATCTCGTTGTTTTTTAACTTTTTTCTTTGTTATTATTAATTAATTTAATGTCACAGTAAATGAGGGTTGCCCTCAAAGTTCTCTCGAGTATAAATAAAGGTTGAATGATTAAATAATATGCCTGTTTGTGTTTCATCAGGCGCAAGAGGCGCAACTTCAGCAAACAGGCCACAGAGGGTCTGAACGAGTATTTCTACTCCCACCTGTCCAACCCCTACCCCAGTGAAGAAGCCAAAGAGGAACTTGCCAAATCGTGTGGAATCACCGTCTCTCAGGTAAACCTGACTGTACATTAAGGAGTGAGCCTCAAGAAAGGGTGGTGGAGAAAGAAAGGATGAGGGTTTATTGTTTTGAATCCATCTAGGGTTGACATTCAATGTTTCTAAAGCGGTCTGTTGTTGAGTTTCTGTGATGGTGAAACAAAAAGTGTCAGGATTTCTATACTCGAGCTAAAAGACACCTCTCTTGTAATTCGTCAATTACAATTTGCTTTATGTGTTAACAATTTACTGCTCAGGATTTATCAATTTAATTGAAAGAGTAAACTGACCTTTGTATTGTTTTTATTTACTGCCAGGTCTCCAACTGGTTTGGCAACAAAAGAATCCGCTACAAGAAAAACATTGGCAAGTTCCAAGAGGAGGCGAACCTTTATGCCATGAAAACAGCCTTGGTGGTCCGGCAGGGCAACGACTCCCCGCACACTCCTAACTCCACAGGTACTACAAATCAACCAAAGCTACAGTCTGCAGCTGCTGTCTTTAAAACATTTCTGCATTTGTTTTCCTCTCTGCCTCCCTTTGTCCCTGTACCAGAACGTGTCAATCATATGCCTAACCTTAACACAATGTATATCCTGAGGCTCAGGAAATCAGAAAGGCTTGTGGTTGTCAGACATTGAGCAAACACATAGTGGGTTTTTTCAGTAATTCACCTGCTCTGTGACTGCTAGACTCACTTTCCCTGCCTCAGTGTATTTGGCTACTGGCTTGTATGCATCATAATGGGACAGCTTAAGCTGTAAGGTACAGCATCTAACTGCTCAAGCCGTACAGGCTGAACATGTTGGCTTGATTTAGAGCATATAAAGAGCATTTCATCCTACATTTCTGCAAGTTTTAGGTCTTTTTTAAGACCCCCTGAGACTTCTCATTTCGAGGCAATATAACACACAATATAGACATCGATTATACCAATAACCACATATTCATAGTGTTCCACCCCAAACTGCTACAGCAACACAGAAACCGTTTCTAACGCTCTGTTGTCTGTCTTTAGGATCTGGATCCTTCTCTCTGGCTGGGTCAGCTGACCTGTTTTTGGGAGTTCCCCCTGTGAACGGTGATCAGGCCGCTTACCCAATGGGAGTGCAGGTACTTTATACCACTCATGCAGTAGTTCCAAACATATTTAAATGATCAGGCTGGAGATATTTTATTTCCGTCAACAAATCCCATGAAATATAAAAAACAACAATAAATTGATCTAGTCAAAATTGATATATTCTTCTATGTCAAAGAGCTTCATTCGAAAAGCTATCAAAAACACATAATTGAGCGTCACTGTTGCACTGTGTTCCTTCATACTGACACACACACACACACACACACACACACACACACACACACACACACACACACACATATGTTGGTTTTGATCTTTTAATTAATGTGATTGGTCTAACAATATACTTTTATTGATAACTATGACATTTGAAAAAACAAACACTAAAATCATGTTAATAACACACAAATATTGTGTTAATATTATGGCTTTATACATTTCGGTATCCATTAGTCCCATTTTGTTTTGTTGTTTCTTTTCACCCCCTTTACAGACTCTCCTTCCACCTTCCACAAAATGCACAATAAACACATTTAACTCTATCCTACATTTATTTCAAGCCTTTTGCACTTCATTCCCCCACATAAACTGTGATAGAAGCTACCCAGAAGATGTGAAATTAATCCAAAGCATCTTGTGGTTATGTAGAGTAGATGCACTAATGATGCACCCTTGTTGGTTAAGGTGCTAAAAATAGTGATGTGTTAAAAAATGACACAATGGCAAAGCAGACATAAGGCCCATGTTGTCCTCTGACACGTTGTCTCTTTGTTTTTCTTTCTATTTCCCAGGCTAACGGGAACTGGAACGGTCGTAACTCGCCCCCCGCCGGTGCCTCGCCCCACAGCGACCACTCGGACAACTCTGACTGAGGACCCTGCCCACTGGCACAGAATGACAGCGACGGAAGATTGATGGCAGAAAAGACCGAACGAATGATCATACACTTCCCACTTGGCTGCAGTTGTTTTTGTACATTGTTTGTTTGGTTTGATTATTTGAAATGTACGTTGTATTTTATTCTTTTCTTACCACTCAGCGTGGGTCATTATTGTGTGTGTGTGTGTGTGTGTGTGTGTTGTGTGTGTGTGTGTGTGTGTGTGTGTGTGTGTGTGTGTGTGTGTGTTGTGTGTGTGTGTGTGGTGTGTGTGTGTGTGTGTGTGTGTGTGTGTGTGTGTGTGTGTGTGTGTGTGTGTGTGTGTGTGGTGTGTGTGTGTGTGTGTGTGTGTGTGTGTGTGTGTGGTGTGTGTGTGTGTGTGTGTGTGTGTGTGTGTGTGTGTGTGTGTGTTGTGTGTGTGTGTGTTGTTGTGTGTGTGTGTGTGTGTGTGTGTGTGTGTGTGGTTGTGTGGTTTTATTATCAGGGTGAAGGGTTTGTTCTCCACCACTTGTCAAATGTTACTGAGGTGTGTGTTTGTGGTTGGGAAGGAACGGGGGGACAGCAGTATCATTGTTTTTATCACTCTATATCGTTAATATTATTGCCGTTTTATTTTTAATGCTACAACTATTATCATTTTAACCGCTCAGAAAAAGAGAGAATGCATTTAGTGAATGAGAAGACAATAGAGAAAAATCCAAAGATTTTGTGTGTTTGTTTCTCTGTTTGTTTGTTTCTACCGGGCTTATGTGTCCCTGTGAAGTGAGTGAGGTGTGTGTGACTCCATGTCAATTGTTTGAATGGGTATATCAGCAGTGCTGTCTTTTTTCTGTACAGTGAAACACCTGTATTCTCTCTACCTCTTTTACAATAAAGACTCTGTATTCACAACCAGATGGTGATTGATGGAGTTATTTGGAGTCAAGGTCAAAAAGCGTCAAGCTACAAAAGATTGGTTGATTCACAGACACCTAATGTTTGCTCCCAGCTGTATCTAGCAAGGCCAACAGTTTTGTTTTGATTGGCCCAGTTTTTTAAATGTTCGCCTCTCTGTCCCCAATACAATGGAGGTGAATAGATTATACAATCCACAGATTTCTCTGAAAGTGGCTTTATATTTATGAGGTAGAGATAATGAAAACTGCACAACATGTTATTGTGTATCGCCATAAAGGTTGTACCCTCACCTGGGTAAAGCGGGTAACTGCATTAATTGAATTTCCTAAAACTATTGTGGAATTTGCACCAGATCGGTACAATATCAACCAAGTGCATAATCTCATGCACTGTCAGATCAGATTGAGTCAAAATACACATTCATTTTAACCGAGTGCTCATGGTGCTTTTCTAACGTAATGTACCTTTTATTCGTTTATTAAACAAGGGTAGCGTTCAACACAAAAAAGATCTAAATGAGTTGATCTTAAAAAAAACACATTTGTTGTCCCTGGTAAAATAAGCCACACCTACAAAAACACATTATAACAAACTAAATTCTGCACAAAGTAATACAGGCGCATCAAACATTAGCAACATCTTAGTATTAATGAGTTAAGAGACAAATGTGTATTCCTATGCAGTGTGGCGTGTGGAGCTATAATGCAACCAAGGCTGTTAATTAATCTACATCTTCAGAGGTCCCCTGAGGGCTCTCGGGCTCACACCACTTGATCAAAAAGTGCCACGTGTGCGTCTTCACCCTCTCTCATCTTTCCCACGGTGGCATTGTCATCTTCAAAGAGTTTCCACGAGCAAATGTGGAACAACTGTGGCGCTAAAAGTTGCGCCAGCACGAGACGGCTTCCCAAATGGCACGCGTGGTCTATTGTGACATCGAGGTGTGAATGCATTATGTTAACCATGGATTGTCACACTTCACCCTGTAGTGTGACTAACAAATGCAAAGGCGTCAAGTGTGAATGGAAAGGTGTTGGCACTCGCCGTAAGTGAGCGCGCAGTTCGTAAGGGACCAATAAGGAAGAAATAAAGACAGACTTATTCAGCAGGAACATAACACCTCAAAAGTGATGTTGGTGAGCCACGCGTAATGAATGCTTTAGACAAAATATGTAGACTATCATTGTTTAACCTGCCATCAGAAATGACACCCATGTCCGTAGATGTCCCGGCTTTAATAAACCGGATGAAAAGATGAAGTGCTAATTTATCCAGTCACTCGCACCTCAAATGGTACACAAATGGTATACGCTCTCTCTTACGCGCAACTGCATCCAGGTCTCTTCGTATTAGGCTAGTAATATTTCAAGAACAATCTATGGACATATTATGTAAGGCTTTGAAATTACAGTAAAACAAACAGTCTCAGGACATCATTAGGCTACTGCTTTCCACGCTACGCACCACTGATTGCAAGCCATAACAAATCTTAACTTGAATGTTCTATGTTTCAATGAACCATCTAAGATCTGTTTATTAAATGTTTCTGCTTTGGGATGATAAAAGGATTTCTGATTAGGAGTTTACGCGTATAGCTTCTTCTCGGCGTGTGTAAAGCAAGGTGCATAGCCGGGTGTCTTGTTTGTTTCTTAAGCACAGACGGATTTTTTTCCAAAAGTTAAAATGTAAGAAACTGACCAATGTATTCAAATGCTATCCTACTGGCAATAAAAAGGGTGAACTCGAGGAGCTGACGGGAGAGGTTAGGTTGTAAAAATGTGTTACGGGAGGAGCCTGAGGGATGAGGAGGACAAAAAGCAGTCAGACACGTCACGCGCCACATTGCCTGATCAGTTACAGAACTGACAACACATAACAAGAGCTCACAGGACCACCGGCTATAATGAAACTGCTACAGGAAACGGGGGATGCACCACACGAAAGAAAGGTAAGAAATACATCTCAATGAATGTTTTTATGAAAACCAGTAGGAAACATTGAAATCAGACTATTTGAAATTGTATCTCTCACAACTGTATATTTTATTAATCCCCACATATTTTTCTTCTTCTTCTTCTTTTAGATTATAAAATCTCAGATGGAGAAACGCCGAAGGGAGAGGATGAACAGCAGTCTGGAACATCTGAGGACCATGTTGCTTCAAGACCCACCACAACCCGTAAGGAATCACACAAAACCTCTCAGTGAACTTGTATCTTTTGTGAAAAGAGATTGTTACAAAAAGGGTAGATGAAAAAACTAGGAATTAAATAAGATGGCTAGAGTCACAACAAATGTATCGTTAGGTGCTTTTATTAACAGCCAAAATGCTGAAAAAACACAAAGTAACAAGAAAGAAAACAAAACCTCAATATATACGTACAGGTCGAGGACATATACCTGGTACCTCTCTGCTCTACAGCCACAGTCAGACTAACCTCCAAAAGGTTTATGTTAAACCCCTCCCCATAGGACAATCCACTATTTACCCTTAATTACTGTTATTCTTATCTACAAACACAATAAATCAAATATGTCAACATATTCTACATTTCTGACCACAGAAGCCTTAAACAATAACATTTTTACACTTGGAGGAAAATTGCCGCCCGTGCCCATGCACTACATGGTATGCTCCAATTGAGCACAGGTGTTTCCACTGATTGAGCCTCTACTTAAGGCTGCCGTTTTTTGTTGCTCTGTTTGGCCTTCACAACCTTGAACGAGAGGGTAAGCAGGTTGCTTTGGCACAGCATAGTTGTGTATGACTTCAAATAAATCTGTCTTGAACAAACAATGACTTGGGTTTTAGTTGATCAATGTCCAGCTAAGTTATTAATGTGTTTCCCTCAGTGTGCCTTTTACCATGTCCCTATGCCAACTGTGATGAAGGCTTCTTCTTCTTCAAGAGAGAGATACTAGGTTTCTGTCTTTATGTATTTATCATTCAATGTATAGAGATCTTAAACAACCTGCCTGATTTAAATCTCTTGATATTTAATAATGATGCTTCATAAAACAAGAACAAATAACTGGTCAACTGAGTATGCATTTTTTTTAAACAAATTCAGGCACATTCGCATATTGAAGATAGAATTGTTTAGGTAAAGGTATGTTACTTTTTTTGCATCATTATGTAGCATTCAGGCCTTATACTGACAATAAACTATAGTAACTCATATATTTTGTTCATGCAGGATGGGACTCAGCGCAGAGTGGAGAAAGCTGAGATACTCGAGCACACAGTGCTTTTCCTGCAGCACACCATCCAAAGACACAGGACGAAATCTGCTGCAGCTTCCGCAGGAGCCCAGAAACACTCCTTGCAAGACGGCTTCTCCACCTGCCTGCAGAATGCTGCTCAGTTCCTGGGACCTGAGGGGAAAGGCCTGTGGCTCGGAGCAGCACTGGATGCATCTCTTGCTGCTCGTTTTTTTCGCTCAGACTCTGATTCTGCAGGTGTTAAAAGGACAACTGAAGCGTGGTCCTCCAGCTCTCTGCGACACACAAAGACCATTCTCCAGATGTTGAAACAAAAGTCCAAGCACAGACTGCACACACAGGGCCACAGTGTTGCTCATCCGTACCAACTTCCAGTCCAGCAGGGGTTTCTCCAACAGACTCTGAGACAACATCATCTTGAGATCAGCGTGGAGAGTCGAGCTGAAAAACAGAACCCGTCCCAGAGCAGCCCGCTCAGCCAGAGTGTGTGGAGACCCTGGCCCTGACCACCAGGAAGTGGACTCTGAAACTAAAATTGTATTGACTATCAACTGAACTATATAGTGCTCCTGAAAGAACATTTGCATTGTAATGTTGTGAACACTGGCCTCCTGTTATCTGATTGTGATGTTTAACACAAAGCTCAAAGCCTGTAAACAATGATACTCATTAATGCATGTGATGTATTAGTCAGGCAGGCACAGTGATTTTCTCAGAATGGGACACACCTGAGCTAGATCAGGAGGCTGCTGTGCTGAAGAGAAAGTGCAGATCATGATGCATCTGTCCTTCATACTCTGCTCAAACCCTCTGACCCTCTACTGTCCAGATTTAAGACTGTGGACAACGATCGAGTGTCCATCCTTTACAGCAGGCAATGCGACCCCTCACATTCACCCGTGTGCCTGCTGAAATGAAACATGTCAACAATATAAGTTATATTCTGTTTAAATATGATTTGCCTATTTTTGCACAATAATTTATTCTGGATGTCTCCCTATGGTGAGCAGTATTTCTTTTATAATAAAAAAACGTTTCTTAAAATGGTGTCAGATTGTTTTTTGTCTTCCCGAAGCAAAAGCTGAAGGCCCTTTGTTTGTGCTGACATTGACAGCTCCTTTTAGCTGGAGGTGTGAAGCCTCCTGCAGAGCTGCATCCTCCAGGTGTGAAGTCTGGCCAAGAGGTGATCAACTTCAGTAGCAGTTTTCACTTCAAAGACATCAAAAGATAGCCCTGCTCACACATTATTCACTTAGTTGAAAGCCTTTTTCAGATTAAATCAATGAATACAAAAAGCTAATATAGCCAGTCACTGCTAAAGGCTTACCACCACAAATAAATAAATGAAAGAATGCAACTTACAAAAGGGATCTGTTACTTATTTACAAAACATTGCCTATTTGCAGAGTCTGTCATATTTATTGAGCACTTTAGCTGCTTTTCCAGCAAGCACGCTTTATCTTTTTACATTAACTTTCTATAGGGTTAGACTGAGGTTACATTATTGAAAATCCCACTAGTATACAGAACATCACATCACTCTGCAACTCCCCAACTACATTGGCAAATTCTATGCAACCTCAATATATAATGTTCTTGAAGAAATTCTGACTTATTCTTAAATTCTGCTCCTACAGTTAGTGTTATACAAATTCAAGACATGTCAGTTCAGAGTCTCTCTAAGTTCCACTGTTTCCATCAAGGACTACTCTACAGTCTTAGCTAAAAGTGAACTTCGTTAGCATTGTAGTCTTTACCAGATGAAGTTAAATTATCTGACACCCCCCCCCCCCCCCCCCCCCCCCTCCCTCCCACAGCCCACGTCCGTTTGTTTTCATTGTAATTAGCATTCATTTTCTCAGCTTCTTCGTCCCCAGCTGCTCACAGGACGTTTGTTTCCTACGCGTGTCTGGTGTCACTTCATAGGAAACAAAACGTGTCTTAACACCTCCATCAGCCCTTTGAAGTTCCGTCACATTCAGGGGACATTTGTCTGGTTATAGCTGTCTGAATACTGATCGATTTTTATCTGAAAAATACAATTATTTGAACATCATTTGAAAACCGTCAAGCGAGAAAGAAATTGGTGGATTGTCCGGTTACGCAGATAAATGTGCCAGGGTGTTTTACTTGGTTAAGCTGAACGTAGAAGTTGACAGAAATCCAAATTATAAAGGAGGTTTTATTGGTTCTTGAAGTGAAAAAACAACTGAAAATGTGCTTTTATTTATTTGTGTTTGTATTATATTTTGTTATGGATAAATGTTACTTGCTGGGTGTCACTGATCCGATGTAAGTGAGCGTGGGAGACACTTTCCAAGCTCCTTCTCATGGGTAACAGAAAGCGACTTGTCCATTTGCACTTTTATTATCTGTTAGTATTAGTACATCATTAAATAAGTGTGTGGAGGACTGCGAGCTTTCAGGTTCCCAGGCACACGATTGCGCACGCTGGTCACTCAAATGCAAATTACGCAGTAACATTGCCCCGTCATTTTACTTCTTTCACACCAATACATGGAGCTGTTTTTAACCCAACCACTGCCTCAGTTACAGTGAATAGCACTCATTTTGTAGTTGTTCCACTATAATGTTGTATGCCTCTATCAGCTGATCTCTATGTAACAATAACATGGCGTAGTGGTTTGAACAAATGTACTGTTGTTTTTCATTTGCAAAGTCCATTTATGGCACTACATTTGCGTTTTTTAACTCAATGTTTACAATAAAAGGCAGAGATGTATGTCATGGCTACACGACACCGAGTTGGACCTCTAACGTTACACGAAAGAAGAAGAATAAAAGGCAGCAGGAGTCCTATGGGTTCATTTCTGACATTTAGGATTACAGATTCGGCTGGTGCCCTTAATGGTCGTGTGCATTGTATTATCGTTGTGATGTATAACAAGGACATTTTTAAGTTTTCATCGAAATGTATCTTTGTCTGTCATTCTTAATGGAGGCACGTGCCAGAAATATTATAGCTAATGTTCGTCCTGACTCAGGAGCCTCTGATATTGAGTTTAGGAACAATATATATTTCTTGATTATATGTATCTTGATGGGACAAACTAGTCAAGTTCATGTAATGTACAAATATATGTCTTTTGAAGTTGTTTGCAGTTTGTAACTGTGTTAATGAATTCAGTGAACTGTTAAACGTTTTTTTCCGCTGGCGCGTGTTCAAATAAGTGTGAAGTGGTCACGTGCTGCTCGGCTGCCCATTTCAAAAGGGTTTATTGGATTTCTAAGTTCATTAAATAACAAAGAAACACAGTTTGAGGCGCTCTACTTGAATATGCATTTATTTGACTTTACACTATTAAGATATTATAGCATTATTCACTTAATTTGTACTTTTTACTCCATACTGAAAGTTACTGTACTAATTGAGATTTTAGTGTGTATAACCCAGGAGGTTCATGACCCTAAAAACCGCTTGAACCTCAAGTCAAAAGCAGCTACATTTCGAGCAAATTCAACATTTAAAGGTTGCTTTCAAATGATTGCCTTATTATTAAAGATCTGAGTCACAATGTGCACCACCACAGAACGAGAACATGTTCCTGATATTTCTGTTTTACTTATTCTGTATTTTACCTGTAATGGAGCATATTTACATTGTTCTAGTGGTATGTTTCTTAAATAAAGTATTGGGGTGCCATTACTTCAATACTGCCTGATAATGCAATGTGAAAACAAACATTATTTTGTTGTTGGGAGAGGCAAATGTGCATGTGCTTCAAACCAAATCATAATAAATACGAATGTCCTTTTGTCCACGAGTCAACACTCAGAGACAAATGTTGGATCTGTGGGAGACTGTCCCCAAAATCGTTCTCATGGGAACGTGGAGCAGGAGGCTGCATGTTAACTTTATTACCTGTTAAAACCGATACCTCATTGCAGAGTGTGCTTGGATGAGAGGTGACGTTCAGTTTCCCACAAGCGGGACGTTCCGAACATAACCGTTAAAGGATTTGAAAAGAGTAAAACAATGATGTTGTTATCCATAACTAATTGATAATAGCCATGCGTAAAATAACAGTCTTTATACGCATGCTTGTGTTGTCTCTTGAGTACTTTCATTAGACAACATGTAACGTATTTGTAATATATCAAATAGAGTTCTGGTTAGATGATCCAACAACCGATGACACAAGGACTTGATTATGTTGTGTAGCCTTGTGTTATTACTGAGTTGACTTTACACACCGACACACTTTCAATAATAGTGTAAATTGGGAGAATAGCTCCTTGAACTCCCTCTCATGGGAAACGTGGGCACGTCGTGGGAGAATATCCCCAAAATAGTTCTCATGGGAACGTGGAGCAGGAGGCTGCATGTTAACTTTATTACCTGTTAAAACCGATACCTCATTTTCAGCTAGGAGGAGAGGTGACGTTCAGTTTCCCACAAGCAGGGGACGTTCCGAACTAATTGATAATAGCCATGCGTAAAAGAACAGTCTTTACGCATGCTTGTGCTGTCTCTTGAGTACTTTCATTAGACAAAATGTAACGTATTTGAACATAGATAATATACTTATTGTTAAATGATACAACAACAGATGACACAAGGACTTGATTATTTTGTGTTAACTCAGTGGACTCTCCTCACCAACACACTTTCAATAATATTGTAAATTGTGAGAAAAGCTCCTTCAACTCCCTCTCATGGGAAACTTCGGCACGGTGCTGTATTCTTACTTTATTACGTGTGAGAATTGATACATCATAACAAAGCGTGTTTGGGGGAGACGTGGCTTTCGGGTTCCCACGAGCTACTTCTCAGAATGTGATCATGAAATGTACCATTTGGTTTTAATCGTATCTTTTCACATATATGTGCAGAGACAGAGTCATGCGTAAAATGTACCTTTACGCGCAACACATACACGCTAATTTCAGGCGACTTTGGAGTTGTTGCATATTGAGAAACATATTTTGAATACAGTAAGATTTATTTAACACTGGACTGCGATTGTTGACCTGTTCTAACTTGCAACCATGAGGCAAACGTCAAAAAAGCAGTGCATAAACGAGTGGACTTTACGCACGACATAAAAGTTTCCCTGGTGAAGATTTTAGAGAATTTATGAGAACCTCAATTATTAGTGAGTCCTTACTGAGCCCTTATTAAAAAAGTTTGAGATTTCTCCCGATATTCTTTGATTTCTTCTGACAGTATAGGCCTGGGAACATGTCTCGTTTGGTCGTCCATAATGAGGGCGTGAGAAGTCACCCTCGTTCGTTTGTCTGGGCTTCACGCTGTTCTGGCGGATGCTTGTTGCTTTCTCACATATATGTAAAATGTATCACACGAGCTGGCAACACCTTTCACAGGCGCGTGGCACTGACACTCAGCGGGGCAGCTGCACGTGCCTGCAGATTAGTGAAGGGTCTTTAGGCGCGCTGTTCATTCTGCAGTCATCTTCAGAGAATTATCGAAATGTATTAAAATAAATAATAGAGAAAGTAAGACATGAATAAAACATCAAACATATTATTTTATGTTTCAACAATAATAGCTTGCCTTTTTTCACTGATACTTCCAGCTCATGACTTTTAATTGAATTGAAGCAGACTGTCAAAATACAGCAATAAAAAGGGTCGTCACAACATGAGTAGTCTTTCAATTTTAAAGGTACATATTTTTTACAAAGATTGACGACTTTTTTTAAATAGTGTTTAGTGGCTTCGTTAAGGTGTACAAACCTGGGGGGAAATAAAGTCTGTGACCATGTGGTGGGTGGAGCCTAAAGACACGCCCACATGCCTTATGGCATAAAAGCTCGAGCTGTGGCATCGATGGGCACATCAAGCTCTGACCGACACCGATTCCGCTGCTGTTACAAGATCTTCGAATAACCTATCATGAAATTGATTCACGAATCACAGGACGCGAAGTTCGACAGAAAGGTATTTTAATCTTTTAATATTTGAATCTCCCATCTTTATTTGTAACTATTTTGCCTGCAGTTGTCGTTCATTCATTAATCATTGTATCGGTTTTCCTCTTCTCAGAATCTCAAACCTCAGGTTGAAAGACGTAGAAGAGAGAGAATGAACCGCAGTCTGGAGAGCCTGAAGACACTTTTACTGCAGCAACAGGTAAGGAACCCAAACTCTCTGGAATACTTTTTCATTTTTAGGGTTTAAAGGCATTTTAGAAGTGTCTGGTACACTGTTTACTAACTTATTTTGTGTCTTTCCCAGGAAGCTTCTCGGCGCAGAGTGGAGAAAGCTGAGATACTCGAGCGCACTGTGCTCTTCCTGCAGAGAACTGCTGAAGAAGATAACACGAGAGTTGGAGATGCTGCTGGAGCCCAGAAACACTCCTACCAGGACGGGTTCTCCACCTGCCTACAGAGAGCGTCACGTTTCCTCGGACCTGATGGGAAAGGCCTGTGGCTCGGAGCAGCACTGGATGCATCTCTTGCTGCTCGCGTTTCCAGTTTAGACTCTGATTCTGCAGGCGTCCATAGAAGAACCGGAGTCTACTCCTCGTCCAGCTCTCTCAGGAAGTCCTCCACGTATATTCTGCGGATGCTGATACACAGGTCCGGGCACAAGCTGCGCACACCTGCCCCCTCTGTGCTCAGTTGTGTTCAGACCCTCGGAGAACCACATTGCTCTGCCATAACTCCCCACCAGCCCCGCAAAGTGGCGAGTCCAGCGAGCAAACAGAGCCCATCTCAGAGCATCACAGCCGGCCAGTCCCTGTGGAGGCCCTGGCCCTGATCCAGAAGCAGTGACTCCAAAAACTGAACTTTTAATGACTCTAACAGGCCGGTTATTATTTATAAAAGAACATGTGTTGTTAATTCGATTTCAAGGAAGTCTTCAGTGCAATATATCCAACACGAAATCCTACATTCTGTTTAAGTCTGGCAACATGTAAATACTGTAAATGTATTTTGATCACACCAAGTGCTGCTATAGTCTTTTAAACTATGTCATATTGATACGCATTTTTGCACCTTAATTTATATTTATTTGTCATTTGCGAATAAACAAAAGGAAAAATAATTGAAGTGATGTGTTAATTGATGTTGCTGGCACGTGCCCTGAGGAACATAAGCATAAGTGTGGACTGGTGCTGCCACACGTGAGGATGAGAAGCGCCATGCAGTGACGTTTCACACAATGTAACAAATCCTCACTCCTTTACTTTGAAAATCTTTGATATGCATACACGTGGTCAAACATTAGAACAATGAAACGCATACAGTAGGCTACATGTAAGATAATAAGCCTTCAATTAGAAGTATGTTAGATACTCAGATTTATTTTAAAACTGTATCTTATACTTGTAGTTACATTTAAACTGAAACCATAAACAAGTTTTTCATTAAAGGAAAAGGAATGAAAGTATTGCGTAAAAGTGATATTCTCGTCATATCTCTTGCTTAAAAAAACGAAATGTATTGATCAAAAATGTTTTGACAGTTTAAATAGAGATTTAATTTAGAATAAGAATCACAGTTCTGGCCAGAGTTACTAATGAGTGCGTAAAGATTGAGTTATTTTACCGTGCGTAAAGCAGTTTTTCATACAACGAAGTTTTCATTCGGTCTCAAACTAATTTGCATTTCAAACATCTGCGAATGCGTGTGGGAACGTGGGAAGTGTCTCCTGTGCGACCCTCTGCAGACATGTATCAGTTTTAACAGGTCATAAAGCTGTAAACGCAGTGCCACTTCCTCTTTTCCCACGAGAAAGAGTCTGAAACCTTTGACTTCTCTTTAACTAAAAACATTTGGTGTGAGGTCTGTTCCAATTACAGCTCTATATAAGTCGCTGTTGTTGAGTTATTTTTAGCTCAAGTTTGTCTCTTGTTCCATGTTCTATCAAACTATTGTGTCCTAACTTTCTTAATGTTTTTTTATGTTTAAAGAAAAACTTATAACCAAAAAAGAGCTTTAATTAAAACAGTTTAAAAAAGTTTTCCTGTGTACCAAAATATCACTATTTTTGTGTAAGAAATATGTTTAAAGATCATAGAGTATATTATTTGTATGTCCCCACACTTGCAGACAACATCATAACGTAAGTCTTATGGTATTTGTAATGTGTAACCCTAAGATTTTGTATGAAAGTATAAATTAAGACAAAAAATACATTTATTATGGCAGTCAAACTGAGAAAAGACTTGTTCTGAGTAAGGGTTAGGTAGGGTTAGATAATAAGTGTATGAGTAAAAAAAAGTTCCATATAAATGCGCATGGAAAGTCTTTATTGCATGCATCAGGTCTCTTGTGCAACCAAGTGCATCTTTCTTTTGATTATTTATTTTTGACTCTCTTTGCAATAATCAAAATACAACCTGTTTGATGTAAAGACAATATGTATATATTATATAACAAGATTCACACGATGTTGCAGTTTCAGTGATATTCATCACGTTTGACTGGTGTTCATCTCAGAACAGTTTTTTATTTGACATCTCATGTAACATAATATTTACAAAATACAAAATCCTCCTCCCTTGTAAAACATATAATAATAATAATTTAGACAAGGCTGAGTGAAAACTGGGGTGGTGATTTAAGAAAGAAGTGCTGCTGTGTATTAGTTTGACAGAAATGTAAAAAATAAGAAATCTAACAAGCAAGTCAGTCAGACGACACCCAACAGATGCATAATGGATAACAACATCACAAAAGTACAGTAGTAAATCAAGGTTGGACTCCCTGCAGATTGCGGACTAAAACTCAGTGCCTCTTTGTCATAATGCTGCATTGTCATTATCGTCACGTGTTCTTCAATGCTATTCTAATGGGCAGAAATGTGTAGCTGGGTTTTCTACAAGGCTGTTTGTGTGGAGTCAGAAGCGTTGTTTAACCTCTCACCTCTGGATTTATGCTCTGGATTTGTTGAATTTGCCGCTGGTTGCTCTGCTCTTCTGGGAATATCACCGTTTACAACTGGCGGGCGATTTGATTGGTTGGCAACATCTGTGGGAGGTGAAACAACAACTCTTTCTACAGGCTCATTGGCTGTTCTGTCTGTCAAGATAATGTAATTGGGCTCTGGCTGGTGGCCACTGGAGCGACGCTGCAATGCATGCTGGGTGCAGGAAAAGGAACGTTGCCGAGGCGCAGGCTGGGGCGACAGGAAGTGAGGTGTTGCAGCTCTGGGGACTTCCTGGCTCCTATCACGATCCTCGTCTTCTGAGGTCACCTCTTGTAAGGTGCTGATTGGCCGAGGAGAGCGGCCCATGATTCTTGGAGGGACCAGCGCTGTTGCCGATTGGTTGAGCTGTGGTCGCCAGTTCTGAAGGGATGGGTACTGCACCCGGCTCATCGACCAATCACTGGCAAGACAAGAAAATCATCACAATGTTACGACGCCCAACAGTAGCAGAGACGTTTGGTCAAATATAGATTTTCTGTCCTCGTGAAGAAAGGGTAACATTTTAAACTTGTACTCCAAGTTGTCTTAAATTCACCACCATTGAAGCATTTTCAGAACAGGGACTGCATCAGGACAATATTTACAAAAAAACCTCCGTAAATTCTGTATAATAATTATTTATCTTAGTAAGTAATTATCAAGTGATATCTGATTTGTCAATTATTTTTGTTATAGTACTCGATACCCACACCCCTTATTTCATATACAAGTGTAAAATACTTATTTCATGCCAACAGCGAATACAAAGTATTATGTGATGTTTAGCTACAGTAATTGACTAACATTTGCAAATAATTTACAAAAAATAGTTTATTTTGGGTTCATTGATAATCTAATTGCTGCAAATCATTTTTCTGTTTATGGACTAGTTCACTAGCTCTAATCGTAAAATTCTCAATGACTTATTTGGTGGCACATCATCTTGAGCATGTTATGATTGAAACCTTACTTTTGTGGCGGTGGGGTCATATCTCGATGCCCTATGATCCCGGAGAAGGAGGCACTTCTTCCAGGAATGCCCTGTGACCCGACCCACGGCGAGTAAATCAGAGTGCGCTCCTCCCACAGCATCTCATTGGCCGAGTCCACGGGAACAGGCCCTCTCTGAATCTGGTGAGCCAATAGGAGCTCCAGGATCTGGTGATGAATGCCTTCTCTGGCCACGTCGACCGGGCGACGCCCTCTCCGATCGTGAAGCTCCAGGTTGGCCCCGTGTAGGAGGAGGAGTCTGGCCGTATCATAGCAACCATGGATGGCAGAGAGGAAGAGCGCTGTCTCGCCCTACATGAGATATAATAATTGAAAAAAACATAATTCTATCATGTCTGGAGGAAATAAGTCAAACAAACACAGTCCGCATGTAGGCTTCTAAAGATGTAAGATTCAGAGGCTTTAATGTTAAACCCAGGCTCCTTCAAAAATGTATACTTCTTACATAAAAATAAATAAAGAAAGAAAATAGTAGCAAAAAGCCAAGTAAAATGCAGGAATTAGTAAATGATATACACGTGAAATACAAATAAATGATATAAAACATAATGTAAACAGTACAGTAGAGTACAATTCAGTAGATTGCAATAATATATACACATGTGGATATGTGGACTATAACAGATGTGTGTGCAACTAATGGATAAGTCCTCCTTTATAACATCTGATAAAGAAACTCAGAACTCACCTTGTTGTCTTGCAGGTCCACCGCGGACCCGTAGCGGATGAGGGTCCTTGTGAGGGAGAGGTGGTTGACTGAGCATGCCCAGTGCAGGGCTGATCTCCCTGAGAGAGACAGTGTGAGCGGAGTGGAGTCAGGGGGAAGAAGGGAGGGAGTAAGTCAGCCAACGAACAACCATTACACAACAGAGTCGAGCCCGAGATGGTGAAGAGAGACAGTGGTGTAGAAAGGAATTATCTTAGCTCAAGTGAAAGTAGAGGACGGGGAAGAAAGACAGAAAAAGGAAGACAGAGCAACAAAGAGACTGCAAAAGCAAGATCAGCAACAAAGTTAATACGTCCATCAACCCGAGTTTGAGCACTCGAGCACGTTAACTTTGTTCAGAGTCAGAGGGTATAAGGGGATCTGGAGAAGGAAGAGATGGAAGCCGTGGAGAGATGAGCACAGGACGGGAGAGGAGGGACACAAAGAGAGGATGTGAGAGAGACGGGGTAAGTTACATCAGTTACTCAGCCCCTCAGTGTACAGGTGGCAGAGAATAATGGCCTGCTCAGGAGCTCTACATGTTAAACCCATTCATGCACTGGATCCATTATATGGCAGGTGGACAGGTCAATTTATTAGCCAAGCTAGCGGCGTCTATATATTGCAATTACGGTTGGTAGTAATAGTAGTAGTAATGCTGAGTGCTTTTTGATCATAGTTTGATTGACCCCATGAAATTATTAAATAAAGGTCAAGGAAGATCTAATTACTTACATTTTGTGTTTTGTTTTTAGAATGTTGTTTTGTTTTTTAGTTAAATCATATTTATAAAATCAGACCTTTCTTTTTAACTATTCAATCTCTGCTACTGACTGATGACATAACATGGTTGGATCTTATAGTGATATGAAAAAAAGAATTGTATTTGCACATAATTCTTCATTGCTGTTTAATCCTGCTTTCCTTTTGATATGAGTGATGTTTACTGTAACTTAAACAGAACTGTAACTTAAACAGAATAATGTTCAAAGTCTGCTTCATATTGCTCCTACTTCAATAAGGTTAAATCAGGTACAACAAACTACATGCAAATACTGTTTGACAGAGGTTTAGTCTTGAGTTCATGTAAACTAGTATTAGTATCTGTGACACAGATGTCTTACCGGTATGATCGGTGTTGTTGACTGGCACTCCTGCTCTCAGCAGCTCCAAAACGACTCTGTCCAGCCCGCTACGCACCGCTCGGATCAGAACCACTGAGCCGTCCGGACCACACCACTCTGCAGACTGCCAAAACAACAGAACCATGGTTATTATATATCATGGATCTACACATAATACACATTTCACATATGCATACATTTATCAGTGTGGACTAACATAAAGACATGGAAAGGAGAACAAACAAGTACATCGCCAAGAGTTGAAGCTAAATAACATGAACTCCTCATAACATTGACACAAATGAATAGAATACAATGTAAATAACAAGAAACTGACCTGCTGAGGAGGACTGAGCAGAGGAGGAGGGATGGCATCTCTCTCCCATCCTCTAGGTGGAGCTGAAGGAGAACAAATGGTGAGTAAGGGTGGATCTCCACCTTCACGATATTGAAACAAATGTCAGTATGAGTTCTGTTTTACTTACAAACCATGTGGTTGCAAATATAATGTCTACATTGACTCCTTAGTTAACTCCTGTGGATTTATTTATTATAATTTGTTGAACAAAGTAATTCAGAGTTTGACACTGAATTACAGCGTTGCATGTGGTGACAAAATGGGGAGGTTTAATCATTTTTAACGTAACGCCCCTTCTCTGAACATCTTCAAATCAACCCTGAAAACTCATCTGTTCAACAAAGCCTTCCAACATTAACTCACTCTTCCCCCCCCTGCAATGTAACACTTCCATTTCTGGCACCTGTTTTATGTCTTGTCCTTATATGTTCTTTGTTAAGCGACCTTGGGTTGATGAAAGGCGCTATATCAATTAAAGTTATTATTATTATTTGGTAAGAGGGCTGCAAATAATGATTATTTCATTATTTACATTCTACTCAATTCATTGTTATTACTATTTGCTGCAGCTCTTTTTCCGATAACAAATAACAATACATTAAGAAGTGTTATTCACACAGCACTTTTCATACAACAGAAACCAGCAAGTAACTTAAAAGCAAGAAAATAAATAAATAAAGAATTATGCATGAAAAGGTATTTGAAAGTAGAAATTCCAAAACATTTGACAGATTCCAGACTGATGTTAGTATATTGTGGTTTAGGATAGTAATACTTGCCAATAATACAAGTGCATGTCACATTACCAGATTAATAAATGTAGGAATGAACGACTGCCTTAATGTTAAAACAAATGGATGTTAAACCTTACGTTGTACAGGTCTGCGGGGCTGCGATGTTCCCCCCCGGTAGTGTTTCTGCTCCTGGGTCCTGTGGTCGCAGATGGAGGCGTCCTCCTGTCGCCTGGAAGATCTCGTGTTGATGTCTTCCATTGAACTCTGGGTAAAATCTGTGTCACTTCCTATATCCTGGTCTCTTTTGAGAGGTCTGGAAAGCAAAAGCACAATTTTGATATATTACATAAAAAAAACTGCCAACAGTAATACTGTGTTTTCTTTTCTTTTCTTATTATTCTGATTTATGAGTCGCCCATAAGCTCTGAAAACAAACCCAAATACAATACAGTCTTGCCTAAAACATGCATGTGTTGATTGATAGGTTTTGAGGAAATGGACTCTGCAATATGACAGGAATTACAGTTAGTTATTGTTTCATGACCCTGAGAGGGCCAAAAAATGTATTTTCTTTGTAAATACTTTTTTTGCAATTATTGCCTTCGCTTATTTGATAGAATAACAGTATAAGTATATATTTTGGCTCGACCAATACTAAATAAATACAATGTTTGATGAATTAATAAAAAATAATGCCCATATGGTGACATCCAATCCTCAAATTGCTTGTTTTGTGGGACCTGCAGTCATAAACCAAATGATGCAAATGTCTCTACAATTATATATATATATAAGCATACTGAATGTAAAATAGAAAATGTTCGACTTAGTCTTAAATGATTGCCTGAATATTAAAACTGTTTTTTTAATTTAAACTAATAATCAATTAATCGACTAATTGTTTCAGAAAATAGGGATGGAAAAGTTAATGAGTAGTTTGATTTCTCCCTATGTAATTACTGTCCAATTGCTGTGAATACCATTTGAAGTGTTAAAGATCCCATGCCATGCTTTAAGACCCGTACACACCTGTGTGTGTTATGTAGCTTTTTATGAATGTAAACGGTCTGCAAAGTCACAAATCCTCAAAGAACACCCTGTAGCGAGTACAACTCTAACACAGAAAAGACCTGCTATGTTGCCCCAGAACGCCTCGTTGGAGGTTTCTCTTTTTCCATTGTTGTCTTCCTGGGTACAGTGACGTAACGCCGACCAAATGGACCCATTGGTCAATCTGCGGAGCTCCACACACACACACACACACACACACACACACACACACACACACACACACACACACACACACATACACACACACACACACACACACACACACACACACACACACACACACCACACACACACACACACACACACACACACACACACACACACACACACACACACACACACACACACACACCTATCTTTTCTCAGCCGCGGCTCCGCGGATCTCCGCACACACACACACACTCACAGCCTGGCTGAGTTCCGCGGTGTCTCGCTGTCTCGCAGACCCCACACAGCAACCAAGAAACGACACCAGTAATCCAGCTCACACTGTCCGCTCCTCGAGCCTCAAAGGGCGGAGCAGCGAGCCCGGCAACATGGCACCAAGACCCCATGCAGGATTTTCATCTGTTTGTCATTAATGGTGTCATCTTCTGGTTACTAACAAATGCCATTGCAACACATAATCACTGATGTTCCGCTGGAACGGTGGTGGACTCATCAGAACAGAGTGGGCGAGCTGACCAATCAGAGCACAATGGGCTCACAGGGAGGGGGGGGCAGGAGCTCCAACAAGGCGTGTAGGACAGAGAGTGAATACACATACTATACAGAGATGCTGTATGAGAAACCAATGTGATTTTGGAACATTGAACAATGTAAATCTATTCTAGTAGACCTCAACAATGGAATTATAATCAGTAGAAATGGCCATGTCATAGGACCTTTAAATAATAATAATACAGGATAAAGGTCATATCCAACTGATTAGCAGGAAAAAGTGGTATTCAGCATTTTCAACACAGGATGACCTCCTACTTGTTTCAGACAAAACTTCCTCTCATGTTTTTCAAAGCAACTCACCGCATTCGAATGGCATCCTCCCCCAGCGGCTCCCTCCTTCTTTTTTTCTCAGCTTCCTTCGCTTTCTTCTTCTTCCTCAAGCTGAGCTTCTCTTTCTCTCTGCTGGATCTCAACCTCTGCTCTTGCTGGACTCCATGCGGGGTCAACGCCTTGGGTTTTTGGTCATTGTCTGTGAGTGTGGACCGGTGTCTCACCCTGTCACCGCCTTCCCTCTCCGCCCGCCGCCGCCTCACCCTCCTCACCACCAGGAACACAGCCAGGGCCAGCACCAGCAGCAGGCCAATTGCTACAGCTATCACAGCCCACAGCCATGCAGGAGTTGGCTCTTTGAGAGGAAGGATTGAAAACAAAGCAGCAAAATATGTAAAAATATATCAAGATACTCAATAGTTTTTCAAGATTCAAGGCTTTTATTGTCATTTGTACATAGCTTCAGTGTAGTTATGACAATGAACATCTTAGGTCACAGACTCCTCAAACAGTGCAACAATAAAACAGATAAAATAGTGCAAGTAAATAAAATAAAATAGAATATAATAGAAATAGTGCAGAATAGTCTATATACAAGTAATTGGAATATTGATATATATATAAGTTGCAAACAGATTAATGTTATGGATGTTCTTTCAAAAGTTCAGATGTTTAACAGTCTTAAATACTTACATACTTAAATATCAGTTTGTGATCCAATAAACTAAAGTACTAAATATCATCTGAAAGGAAGTCATATTCTCACAGTGATCCAACATTTTCCCCAAAAAAAACACACATCACAATTGCGCACTGGAAACGGAGAGTTGTTTATAGTGTTTTGTTTGGATGACATTCAAAGCTTGATGGGTTTGTGTGTGTGTGTGTGTGTGTGTGTGTGTGTGTGTGTGTGTGTGTGTGTGTGTGTGTGTGTGTGTGTGTGTGTGTAGGGGGGGGGGAGGACAGGACCTGTGAGCCTACCTTTGACTTCCTCTTTAACCACTTCCTTCTCTCTGCTTCCTATTTCCTCACGGACACCTCTTATACTGATGACGGTTTTCAGCTCTGGTAGGGTGGGGAACAAGCTCGGCTTTAGCAGCAGTACAGCACGCAGGAAACTGGCTGCCTCTGTGGCATAGGGGAAACAGGTAGAGGGCAGCCGGGAGCACGGCCTGTTGTCCACTTGGAGGAAGAGGAGGGAGCTATAGGAAAGAGTGAGAGAAAAAGGAAACAGCAGGTTCATAATTGTTGAGGGCCGGAGTAATTTTGTTGATAAATTATATAACCAATTACAATTTTAAAGCTTTATTATCTGATGTTTTGCGCACTGACGACTTCGCAACAGCTTGAGTCTTTGTTTTTTGTGTTGTCTTGAATACATTTTTTTTTTAATCTGGTAGTTGTACTAACATTGAAATAATTATTTTAAAGAAATCGATACACTCTCTTTCCAAAATTGATTATAGAAAAGAATAAAAAAGAATGCTCATATAATTTATTGCAAAATAGATACACACAGTATAGATATATATAAGATTGGCTTACTGTACTTAACAGAGTTCCCCAAGGTTCTGTGCTTGGGCCACTTGTATTTTGTCTTTAGGTTTATTTGTTTCTTTTATTAATGAAATTGTAAACTTGTTTAAGTATTATTTCTCTTTTTTTTCACCTGAATTTGTATTGTTTTACGCTGTCTTGGCTAAGGGGGCTAACTTGTTTAATAAAACAGGACTAAACTCATTATTTTTGACAGTTCATTTATTTACAACTCTGACTACTTTTAAATCCAGGCTGAAGACTTTTCTTTTTGTCGCTGCTTTTAATTGAACTATTCATATCTTAGACTGCACTGTAACTTTTATCCATGTACTTTTTTTCTTTTAATGTTTAATTTATTAGCTTTTCTTTTTAATGACTGATTTTAAATGCCATTTTCTTAATCTCTTTCATTTTTTGTAAAGCACTTTGAATTGCCTTGTGTTGAAAAGTGCTATATAAATAAACTTGCCTTGCCTTGCCTTGCCTAGTACCTACCCATCAGCGTCAGCCGCAGGAGCCTGAGCCAGCAGGTTGGAGAGCTGATTAGGGTCGAAGTCAAACAACTTCCTGTTAGCGGCGAGGGGGGCGGACCCTCTCAGTGTTAATGGCGACTGGAGGAGGACACTGAGCGCCCAGAGCAGAGAGCTGTTGGAGAAGACCCCACGTTGTTGTGGGAAGTTGGCGTGAAGGACCAGGGTGCCCTTGGCCCACAAAGAGCTCTGATGTTTGAAGCAGTCGCTGCCATCCCATCCACAGGGGGCGCTGTCACAACCCTGCTCGCAGTGGGAGTTGGCGTAGTGATCACGGCAGTACTGGATATGGCCCGGACTGTGAACAATAATGGGGAGGAATAATGAAATAAAGAAAAAAAGACACAGTAAGAGATTTGACAAAAAATGTATTATAAAATGTGATATTTGGCTGTTAAACAATTTCTAAGGTCAAGAATGACATTTAATTCTCAAGATAAAAAATCCAGAACAGGGAGTAATGATTTAACATCTTTCTTATAATAATGTTAGTTTTTAAGTTGCCATTTTTACACTTATATAGTATTTTTGAATAATTGTATAAAAAGACAATTTATTGTGTTACCATTTCATTTTTTCTTTTCACAAGTGAACTGATTAGGACAATAAACTATATGGAATTAATATTACTATTGATAATAATTATAACTATTAAAAAGAATATCAAGTTGAGTCCACATCGAATAAAAAACCTCCTTAAACATTATTTATGTGTAATAAAACATCATATAATGATGCAAATGACGAAAAAAGAGATGAAAAAGACATCAAATAATCCAACAAATAATCATTTTAAAGGACAGCCACAGCTGGCACAATAAGCAAACATATTGTAATTAACAACACTTCCTGCAAAAAGCTGGTTTTGATGGTTTTCTGACAGTAAAAATGATAACAAAAATGTTTTACTTGCAGTGTCCCCGGTCCTTCAGGCAGTCGAAGCCGTCTCTGAGACACTCGGGCTCCATACACTCTCTGTCACATGACCCGTCTCCAAACTTGTCTTTACACTTTCTGTTGACAGGACACTGACCCCATGGATCACCAGAAGCAGCTGTGGAGACAAACACTGATTAGCAGCAATAGTCAACAATGCTGTACAATAATTGTGATCATTCTTATCTTTCAATTGTGGTTAAAAAAATAAACAAGATGTACTATATGCTTTGTTCAGTGTCTTATAAATGAATGAAACATATATGTCTATTTAAAATGCAAGAGAGTATTTGTAGATATGTCAAAGGCAAACAACATTACTCCAAATATCACAGATGTGCACACTGATTATATCATGAGGTCTTGCAGTTTCATTTAACGACACAAACTGTTATCGCTAAATGTTTTATCGCAGGACCAGCTGACCCACACAATAAGAAGCTCATTGTCTCAGAGCATTAGCCACTATTCATAACAATGCAGGTCAAGCCATGAGAGGTGGGTCCTGATACGGACCGTTAAAGGAAACAGGAAATGGGCCCGACATAAACAGGAAGTTTCAAGGAGAAGCGAATAGCAACAGGAAATGGAGTGGGCTGGGACTTGATAAAGGTTAAAGGTCGTTACTGTGGAAATGAGGAATGTGATGGAGTTGGACAATGGGCTGGCAGGTGTGTGCGGGAGCAGAAAATCATACAAACAATAAAAAAAAAAGTACAAACAATAGGGCAGAAATTAGACATGTTAAATGTTTAACACTTCTGTTCCACTTGATAATCAAAGAGAGCTTTCCCAGTATGGGAGGAATGGAAAAACAAGTTATTATAAAATAATTTTTTAATTAGTCCTTTAGAACAACCTATAAGAATAATTTGAAAGGTTCATTCATTTTATACATTAATAATAAAAAACAAATAACTAATAATAATGATAAAACTAGATGATTACTTAAGTTTTCATCAGTATTAAACAAATAAAGGGCTTCATATTTTATTGTAAGACATTAATTTAAGTTGAAAAATTCTCCTTAAAATAAATTAAATGCAGTTCTCAGAGTCAACGTCATTTTTGCTAAATCAGTCATTGGTCATCAGATGTCTACCTATACACTTCATCCAGAAGATAAGGTATCGCACAACTTTGATTGAACAGGTGACACTTTGGAGTATTTATAAAGGAAAGATAACAATCTGTTGAGAATAGGGTGGCTAACTCACCTTCAGATATCCAGCTCAGTCCCAGCAGAACAAACGTCCTCAGGACCAACATCTTCAGGTTGTTCACCAGCTGCGGCCCTTTCCTCCTTCGCTCAAGAGAGCCAGTAGTCCAGTCCAGCTGTTTGTTAGCCTGCCTCTGATCTTCTCCCTCTGACCCGCAGTGCTTTTTTGGTTGTTAATCTGTAGCTCTGTGGTGTAGCTGCAGTCCTGCTGTTCACAACCAACAGTTAACTCTGAGTAAAGCTGCTCATTCCCATCACCGCCGCCACCACCAACACCTTCCAACACCACCACCCAGCCCACTTTGTTCACTCGCCTTTTTTTCAGAGGCCCTGCGGATATCTGGACAACTTCCTGCCACTGTGTGGAGAAGAATAGGAGGTTGATGACCGTACGTGTATGTGTATGCATGAGATTTGTAGCTCTTACTGTTTAAACTTGAAAAAAAAAACACTCTACGGGGTATGTGAGCTGTTAGAGGAGCCGTTATTTCAATGAGTAAAAGCTACAGGGTGAGAGGCGACGGAGTGGTTTGAATTTGACCTTTACGAAAGAGTGGGTTTAGTCTAGCTCTTGAGTCGGGAAAATAAACAGACTTTTAGTGCTCTGCCCCTAAAACAACTATGTAAACTGTTCTGTTGTTATTATTAAATACATAAAAGAAAAAAGAAAACTTAAATGTCTGTTAATGTCTGTCTTAAGCACAGAATAAAATAAATAAAACAAATCATTTGTAAAGTTTGCAGCGTTGCGAATACTTTAAGGCAAATTACGTTGACCTTACACATCACACATATTGAAATCCCAAACAGTAGATTAACAGATATATATGTTTTAGTATTTTTCCAACACACATTATGACACACATTTGTTTTAGTCTTGAACTAATTATAATGGTGAAGAATATATATCTCACAAAATAACTCACATTTTAGGGAACAACAACGCATTCTCAATTACAAAAAAATAAATAAATGGAGTGCTTAGATAATTCCAGTGAAACGACAGCTAAGCTGCATGGAGACTGGGTTGATTATAGAATCTATCATAGTCCTCATAATGATTTGATAAAATGTGAGAAGTCATTGAGGCAAAGTCTTGGAATTGTTCTTTCCAAAATGTGTATATGTGTATGTTAAAGTCACTAATACCTTTTGGTCATGAACCCTTCTCTACTGGATTACCCACTTTCTCTGATTGTGGCCCTCCTCTCTCCAAGCAGTATTCCTCCCAGAGCTCATTAAACAAATTCCCAGTCGCACCGAAAGAACATCCCTGATCCCTTTTGGATTCACACAACCTCAAATCCATATTTTTAAATACAGCACAGAACACCTGGCGAGAGAGCGCTGTGGTCTTCCTCTCTGAGCAGTGGTTGTAGTAGTGCCTGTACACCTCGGACATGTTGGAGAAGACTGGCTCCAGATACAGTTTGGAGACGGACGTCCCACAACAGTACGAGGGAACCTTTGGTAAACTCTGGAGGAACTCATTCAGGACTATATGCTCAGACGCTTTACGGGATTTCCCTTGTGTTTGTTTCTTAGTGATTCGCTCCGAATTGTCCTGCTGGGATATATGTTGTGACCAGTTAAGCACTGACCACTCTCCAATCCCCAAAGTGGAGAGGAACATCTTTTTGCAAACTTGTTTTCTGTTGCCGTCGGCTATCAAATGATACCGCATCGAGACAGACCTTCTCGACTGAGTCCATGGTGCTCGTGTTCTTTCAACCGGGTCGCAGTCGACTAATCCGGACACGTAGACCTTTCTCTGAGCCCACGTCATACACTGCCAGAAACTAGTGAACAACTGGTTCCTCCCTTCTTCACTGAAGTCAGCACAGAAGCGGTTGGATGCCCTTTTGCAGGCACTGGATGAGCATCCCGATCCCATTGTCCTCTGACCTTTAGTTATGGTGGTGCCGTCTTTCTTTCGTTTGCTGATGTACGGTTTGCCCTCCATCCTGAGTTGCTTCTGTCGATTCTGCTTCCACGTCAGCGGCTTGGCAACTCTGGATTTATTTCCGTCTGCCCCCTCTGGTTCTGGCTGCCTGTCTCTGTCAGTGGCAATCACTTGTTCTGCAAAAAACAGAGAAATGGTGTTAACATATAAGAGGTTATACTGTGATAAACTACAGTGCTGAACAAAAACTATTTATGGCACAAACTTAAATTGTTACTTTAGTGCACTATGCTGTGCAGTGTGTTTTAATTCTCAATGTATCTCTTGATTATTTTTCTGACTGATGATTAATAATTTGGATCATAGAAAATCTAAAAGTGGGACATTTCATGGTTGTTTTGTCCAATCAACAGCTATACACCCAATCGAGTTACAATGCTTTATATCAGAGAAAAGTCTAACATTTGAGGAACAAGAACCAGCAAATGTTAAGCATTTTTGCTTGATATGATTGCTCAATGTTGTGCCAGTTGAGTATTCAGTAATTAAAAACTTGTTTCAGAACAACAACTATCTTCGGTAAGTAGCTCAAAAGGAGAAAAAGACTCACCCTGGGAACTTTCTGCAGAGTTATTGACTGCAGAAGTAACTGGGTTGTCATGTGGGCAATGAGGGACAGTCTGACTCTTTTGTAATTTGTCTTCATTTGATTCATTGTTTGTTTGTGTTCCTTTCTGTGTCCAGTTGAGCACAGACCACTCTCCTATCCCCAGAGTGGACAGGAACATGTTTTTACACACTTGTTGCCTTTTTCCAGCCAACATCAAGTGATAACGCAGAGAAACTGATCTTCGCGACTGCAATCCCACTGCCCGAGATCTCTCCACGGGGTCGCGGTCCACTTGTTCTGCTACATACAGTTTTCTCTGAGCCCAGTTCATGTGCTCCCAGAAATCATCAAACATTTTCTTCCTGGCCTCCTCATTGATTTCATTACAAAGACGATTTGTTGTCTTTTTGCATGCATTCGAGGTGCACCGCGGTCCGATTGATCTTGGCTGTTTTATTACTTCCTCGCCGTCTTTTTTGCGTTTGCTCACATATGATTTACCCTCCATCCTCAGCTGTTTCTGCTTGTTTTGCCTCCACTTGGATGGATCTGCGAATTTGGCGTTGAGTTTTTCCCTGCCGGCCTTTGACTTATCCATACAAGTGTTTCCATTTTTGGCAGCAGACGGGAGCGCTGAAAATAAAATACAAAAAATAATATTTATTAAAAGAAGAAATTAAAAAAAAACACAACATTGGTTGGAAATATCATATGTGGTTTATCGCTCAAAATATTGTGCAACAACAAATGCTATTCGTAATTCTGGCTAAAAACTGCAAAAACCTACTGGGATTCAAGACTTCAATTTTTTTGGTATGTGGATCTACAGACCAATATTGTAATGCAAATGTTTTGATGATCCCTTTCTCTCTGTTCACATCCCAAAAAACACTTTGTTTTCCACAGTTAACAGTATAAATAATACACAGTGTGCTTCCAACTACACATGGTTACAGTGTACAGTTTAATGTATCTACCTAAAACAAGATTAAATCATCCTTCTTATACATCTGCAGACTCGAGAAATCCACTGCAAAACACAACTTCAACACACTGTTGAGGAAACAGAACACACATAAACATCTACATTAAACATGCAAATCACTGCTTTGCTTCCTATTCTGAGCCCGTCCAGACCTGCTGGGATGTGCTGCAGCCCAACAGCCTCAGTGACTGTGGCTCTGGGAACAGGGGGATCACTGGTGGCTTTGGGATGGAAACCAATATCCTCCATTGCTGCAATAGCTAAAACACAAGAAGCAGGTTGTTGGAGTGTTAAAGATTTAGCAAAAAACGATGTCTTAATCCTACAATCCACACTCTGTAATTAGCATTAGCCTGCTTGTCCATTCAGACTCAAAAGCAATTGGAAAACACTGCTTGTGCATGTTTTACTGTTGACAACAAAGCCATGTGATGTGTCTAAATCCAGATGTTTGGGTAGCTTACGTAGACGTAGGCGTTGCAGGCCTGATTCATCGGAAGGTAAGTCGAAACTCATGTAATAATGGTCATAGTAGATGTTTAGCTAACTTTATGCGCAGCTAAATCCTAGCAACTCTGCTTGCATGGCAGACAACAAACACCACTTTTAAAATTACACATATTTTTGGCTTTGCTTACATAGTGTTATACATTTGAAAACGTCTCGTAGACGCGTCGGTTCCATCCAGATCAGATTTCTCCCACTGCCGAGGTTTTACTCCTTCATGGTTCGGACAGTGAAACACGACATATGTCAGCTCAGCTAACTCACGTTTTATTTCGATAAATATATTTTACTGTGGGCTCTGTGAAGACTCTATGTCTGTGGAGCTTCCCACTGGCAGCTGCCATGTCCGAGCATGCGCACTGGCTTTCAGTGTAAATATGAGTTTTTAATTCACTCATTCAGCTAAATAAAAATCACAACAAAAACAAAAACAGCAATTGTATAATAATTATTATAATATTATTAATCACAGTAATAATAGTTTTTAATTTTATAATATTTTTCTTTTTGTGGGCAGTGTTGGAAGTAGTCAGTTGTAGCCCTGTATTTGGAATTGTACCTACAAAAAAGAAATGAATATTGTTATTTTTAAAGATTTTTTTGTGCAAAAATCCGCAAAAGTATCCCAATTAAATAAGAAATATGAAAGATAAGGAGTATCTGGATTTTTTATATAAGAAAAGAATATAAGAATAATTATTTTTAATTATTTTAAACATTTTTTGGAACTACTAACAGCTCATATATTAATTGAAATAATCTATGTAAGTAAAATAGTTTTCCTCTAAGAAAGAAACGGAAAAGAATGTAATTGTGTTTTCAAAATACACACCAAAGGAAACATATAAGTGATTTATGGAGAGTTTAAAACAGGCTCCCTAAAAAAGGGATATTATATATATATCTTTACTCATCCTATCTTTCTAACATGAAAGCAGGGGGAAGGAAGCCATCAGGAAGTTCAAAGTTTCTGCTGGGGTTTCATTCCCTTCAGTTGTCTTAATGGGTTGCAAAACATGACAAGAATAACCAACCGGATAAAGCAGGCCACTGTCCTCAGACACACAGCTGCAGGGACAGCAAAAGTCTCAGGTTTATAGCCAGTCAATTATTTTTTGGTAGTTTAAATAATTGTATATTTGTAAAATAAATAACTTTAAATTATGACTGTTTAATAATTTAAACTGTCTTGTTGACTAAAATGTGTCCCAAAAATCTTGAAAAATGTTCATATAATATAGGTAGGCATACAAATAGATACATTTTTATAAAATCTTACTAAACAAAATAAAAGTCCGGGTAAGGCTAACAGCATCCAATAGAAATACAACTAGCTATGCTTATATTAAATGGGTGTAGTGTAGCCTATATTTAATTTAAAGCCAAATACATATGGTAAGATAGACATTTAGTGTATGTTAACATGAGCACACACAATACAACTGTAATGAAAAACTGTATTTCAATAAATTAATCTAAGTTAAATAAATGGGATATCTGTTAACACAACTTTTATAGCATACTATAGGCCTAATGTTAACTCTTTATTATTCCATTGAAATTATTTTTTTGCAGCAAGGCAACATTAAACCAAAGAAAGTACATTCAAAATTCAACTCGAATTCCTAAAACCGTGAATGAAATTCATTTTAGAAGGCTATTGAATTTACACTGTTGAAATGTGGTGTAATAATGTACATATTTCCAGGTCTAAGGTTTGAAAGCTATAGCAGTTACATCTTCTCGCCACATGGTGTCGCTGCTGGACTGTTTGTGATAGCACAAGGTGCTATCAGGGTTCAAACCAAGCATATATCACTACACTGTACAACGTGCAACACACATTGTTGCCAGGCATTTACTATAATTTTTGAAACAATGGTTTGGGATGAATACCAAACTTCATATAACCAAAGTCAAAGAGCATGTTATAAATCGTTAGTCTTCGTCCGTGACAGTGGCAGATATGGGACTTTCCGATGTAAAACGATATAAATAGTTTACTTTCGGTTTCAGTTACAGACAGATAGACTCGGTCGACGTTTGAGCTAGCAGGCTGTTGGGATTAACTAAAAACAATTTGAGTTTGTAAGAGAAATATCGGTGTCAGATTCCGTCCTCAGGCTAATTTCAAACCTTCACATCAGACTTGGTTGGTATGTAAGGAAATATAAGTTGACTGTAATGCTACTAGCAGCTAAACTGGGCTATCAAGCTTTGCCATAAGCATACGTTAGAGTTCGACTTAATAATACTGCATAGCAATATTGTATTTAAGAGTGTTTTGCTTATTCGTTGGGGTTTCTGTGGGTGGGTTTTACTTGGGGTTACTGTGGAACCGTTTCAAAGAAATCCGCAGCGTGAAAGAAAATGAAAGTAACTTCATGCAGAACACTGCTGCAAACTGAAAGTAGATTCTCACCACGAAGTTCATGCAATATAGCGGTTTTGTCTTAGTTTTTATAGTTATCAAGTGGTAAACGGGCTAAAATGTCATCAATGACATAGCTTGATTAGTCATTATGAAAACAAACATGCTGTATCACTTTCAATCCAGCTACCTATGTGTATATAAAACACATTATACAATTATTAATACCATGCATTACAGCACCTCTTCACACTGCACAGTCAAGTACATAGTATCTAAAAATGACCTTTTGGTGCTGTGTGTTTATATATATGTATTTTGTGTTTCCTGTCTGTGTGTGTCTGACTTGAATATACTGTACAGCTAATGACTCTCCCCCCTGTCACTTTTATTTGCAGAATCTGTGCATTATGCAAAAAATGAGCTACTTCTCCCCCCTACTGTTCGTGTGCCTGGATGTGTGTGTGGTGCACGTCATCCGCTTGGCCCATATCTCACCCGCCATAGTCTTCCATCCGTTCATCACCCTGTGGGGAGGAGGGTTGGCCAGGGCTTGCCTCCTCGCCCTCTTCACCCTTATCTCCCCTGGAAGCCTGCTGTGGATGAGGAGCTTCGAGGGGATTCAGAGCTTAGCGGTCCTCTGCTTCCACTTCCCTGTGTTCATCACTCTTATCTGGGCTCTAGATCAGTCTACCTTGGATGAAGTGTGGGGGTGGCACTCCTGGGAAAGGGTGGGTGGCTGTGTTTTATATATTGATGTGTTTGTTGCAGGAGGGATAACATCAATATAATAGCAGGCACTTTTCTTAACACCTTATGTTGCTGCGGGGGTGACAATCGTAGTGCAGGGCCCATGATGCATTGTTGCTTCCTATCCAGTGTGTGTGTGTGTGTGTGTGTGTGTGTGTGTGTGTGTGTGTGTGTGTGTGTGTGTGTGTGTGTGTGTGTGTGTGTGTGTGTGTGTGTGTGTGTGTGTGTGTGTGTGTGTGTGTGTGTGTGTGTGTGTGTGTGTGTGTGTGTGTGTGTGTGTGTGTGTGTGTGTGTGTGTGTGTGTGTGTGTGTGTGTGTGTGTGTGTGTGTGTGTGTGTGTGTGTGTGTGTGAAGATAGAAAACTCGCCAGACTTCCAGATAAGCAGCTAAGGCTTTTGTACCCCAATTTAAACTAGTAAAAAACATGGTTGTCTTAAAATGTATGATATGAAGGTGGTTAAACTCCTTTACTCAAGGCCACTTGGCAGATATGATGAGTGGGTATATGCTATTGTTGCAATGTGACTAAGCATAACTGTGAGGTAACTGTAATGTACCTGAATATTAACATTTCATTTAAATGTATACATCTACTCAACAGCCTCTCAGAGGGAAATACTTTACTGTTTGCTCTAATACATGTATCTGATATATGAACTGGGTACTTTGCAGATTAGGATTTTAGATATAACTGTGATGATTTTATATAATAATATGCATAGCTATGGATGAATACATGTTGTAAAAGTTAGGGTTAGTTGCTTATTTATTTTTCCTAAATCATCTCTACTGTTACCAGCCCTCTTTCTGTAACAACAATGTCAACAGATACAAGACTGAAACCAAAACCAAACAAGTCGGAAGAGAATACATCCTCCATTTTAGAAATGTTGTTTTTGCTTTACCCCAACTCCTGTCAGAATCATTTGAGGCATTAAAATATGTATTTCCAATAATATTTTTCTGGTTTGAGTATTGAACCTGTGTTTTGTTTTGCAGGTGTTACAGGGTTATGTTGTGACGGCAGTGGCATGGCTTTACTGGAGTCGATATGTGTCATCGCTTTTGCTCTCATGTGGTCAATACATCTCCTCTCTGATGAAGAAGGCACCATCTGAGAAGCCTAAGGAAGACACCTGTGACCCTCTGAAGAGGCTGATGGGATACATGCGTCCTTATCTCTGGCGCTTTGTCTCTGTGCTGACTCTTGTAATCCTCTCTTCTTTGGGTAGGACACTTTCATTTAAATTATTCGCTTGTCGTTGATCACTTATATGAACTGTTCTCACACAACTGCAACGTTCAGAATGATATCTCTTAGTTTTCTTGGGTTTTTTGAAGCTTCGTTCACTATTTAGTGATGAAGTCGTCGACAAGCAATTAGTTTAGCATCAAGTATTTTTAGAGGCATTTTATAAGTACAGCTATTAGGGCATTCCTGTTTTTCAGTTAAAATTGTGAAGCTTGGAATGGCTATACATAACATATTTCAGATTGACAGTTGTGTCTCTTAAATTATACTTATTTGATGTGAATTTCTGACCTCAGGTGAGATGGCCATCCCTAAATACACTGGTCGTGTGGCGGACTGGATCATAAATGAAGAAACACCGGATGCATTCACAGAGGCCATCACAGTCATGACACTTATGACTTTTGCCAGGTAATGCAAACTTTTACCTAATTATTCTGAAAATGATTTTAAAAAGTAGAGGTGTTAAGTATTTACTGTATATTTTGGTTACTTAACATTGTAATGTGTCCTCTGTCCTATGTTTCAGTGCTGTGCTTGAGTTTGTATGTGACCTCATGTACACCATCACCATGAGCTGCATACACACCTCAGTGCAGGGGTCCGTCTTCCAGGCTGTGCTGAAACAGGAGATTGCTTTCTTTGGGGCAACTTCAACAGGTAAATCATGCGTGTCCTGTATATATGACTAACTCAACAAAGTAATCTTTAAGGAAAAAGCTCTGTACACAATCAGTCATCATTAATAAATCCATTTATTTCACTTATGCTACACACTTTTTATCGAAGCCAAGCCCATTTCTATATAGTAATGAATTTCCTAATAGATATACTTGACAACATGTGTGCTCACTGGGTACATGCACAACTCTTTTCTTAGGTGAACTAGTGTCCCGGGTTACCACGGATACCAATGACATGAGTGAGGCACTGAGTGAGAAACTAAGTCTTGTGATGTGGTACACGGCGCGTTTTGCCTTCCTCATGTTCTTCATGGTGAGCCAGTCATGGAAAATGTCTCTGCTTACCTGTATGGGACTGCCTATCATCTGGGTCATACCCAAGCTCACTGGACACTTCCATCAGGTAAAGATGACTTCTTCATATGTCTCGTATTTTTATTAGTAGAACTGCAACAATTAGTCCGCTGTTTTGATGTATAAATATGTAACATGTCATTTTGATTTATCCATGTTACAGACTATTGCTGTACAGGTTCAGGAGTCTCTAGCTAAGGCCAACCAGGTGGCCACGGAGACTTTCTCCAACATGAAGACGGTGAGGAGCTTTGCCAATGAAGATGGAGAGACAGAGAGGTACAGAGAGCGGCTGGAGGACACTTACTCCCTCAACAAAAAGGAAGCACTGGCCTATGCAGCCTCTACCTGGGCTAACAGTGTGAGTTGAACACTGATATGGGTTGTGTGCAGCGATTTCTAAGCATAAATGTATCTATGAGTATAAGTCATTGGTGGGGTTAAAATATGCTTGTATGCTAACATTACTATCAAGACACTAAGAACCTTGGGAAAAAACAGAGAAATATACTTTCAACCTCCATTAGTTTAGACATTTCACCACGCAATGGCCAGTGATTTTGACCTTTGTCTTCGTTGAAGTATATTAAATACAATTAAAGGCAGTAGCTTTATTTTCTTTATGTATTTGTTTATTCCACACATGGCAGTTATTTTAAAACAAAACATGTACACTTATACTGTTTTTTTTTTAAAAAGCGCATGTTGGAAAGGGGCAGTGAGAAGAACATCTTATTTTACCTGCCCCTTCTTAAAAAATAAATAAAAATGAAATAACCATAAAAAAGTAAAATAAAAGCAATATTCTTTCAGTCACAGTTGCTTACAAATACTGAAACATAAAACCAGAACACAATCAAAAGTCAACTTCATACTGTCTAATTACGCTTTCTTTATACATTTTCTTACCTGTTCTTACCGCCCTTTAAATCATTGGGCAAATAATTCTACTTCTTTACGCCGACTACAGAGAGACACATCTGCATGATTAAATGTGTAACCTGTTTTTTAATTGTTTCCCAGACGACGACCTTGGCCCTGAAGGTGTGCATTCTGTACTATGGAGGGACTCTTGTGACCAGGGGGCAGGTCAGCAGTGGAAACTTGGTGTCATTCGTCCTCTATGAGCTTCAGTTTGCATCTGCTGTAGAGGTAAGCTACAAGCCAACATAACACCTGAATGAAAATTCAATTGACAGAATTATTTTTCAAAATAAATGTATTTCAGTTAAATTAAAATGTGCCTCATTCTACCACCTCTCTTTCAGGCTGTCATGCAGTATTACCCGGCAGTGAGGAAGGCGATTGGTGCCTCTGAGAAAATCTTTGAATATTTAGATCGCAACCCTCAATTACCAGCAAACGGCACTTTGTCCCCCACAGATCTTCAGGGACACATTCAGTTCAAAGATGTTACATTTTCCTATCCCGGCAGTCCTGTGGTCCTCAAGGTATGTTTAACTGTTGTGCATGTATTTCATCTTACATTTAATACAACTACATACTCAGTGGCGGCGCCAGGGTATGGCTGGGGTAGGCTACAGCCATACCAAGAAATGGCTTAGCCCCACCTTAGCCCCACCTTAGCCCCACCTTAGCCCCACTATGAAAAATGATGTTAAAGTAAGCAAAATAAAGTCCGCCAACTTGCGCGGAGTAAATTGCAAAGACGGCAGTTAGTAAGATTGATTTCAGTAGCCACTTGTCTGGAAATACAGAAACGGTTTTGAAAACTTTTGTCACGTAGTGATCATCTTTTCAATAGAATATCTTTGATAATGTCTTCTGGCCAATCAGAATCAAGATAACGGCGTCGTGTTGTTGCAGGAAGTCCCAACGGAGAATACTTTTGCTGTAGTACATCTCTATATACATCGATACAACATTACGTGTTGATAGAAATCAACACGTAATTAAATAAGACCCCACGGTTTGATGATTGATAGGTGTGTGGGCTGTCTTTCATTTTGACGCACAGAACAATGGGGGCATCCACCCTTATCCACAATGTAAAGTAATTCACACAGCCTCTTCTCTCTTCAGCAGGTTCAGCTTTCAGAACAAAGTAACAAAAATGGCATTCATTTTTTTAAATATGTCGTGTAGTAATAGATTTATTTATTTTTCTTCTCAAGAGAGTACCAGAATGTGTATTTTATTTTAGTATTTCAAAAAATCTACTGGGGGAGAATCCCCCCAGACCCCCCTGCAGGGGTTGGGTTTTCAGCATGTCAACTCTTTCACTTGTGGAGAAATTGCAGGATTGGCTCCAGGTCGCCCTTTTTATTTACTACAAATGTGCCTTTTTATTTCATACAGTTCAATTTGGATTGAGACAGGGAAATAATCTAAACCTCACGCATGGCGTTTCACTGTCAAGGGGGGCGATATAGCGTATATGTAATTACATCGCAAATACTGACTTGAGCCCCACCACTGTATGGGTTAGCCCTACCACAGATTACCCAACAAAAATACTCTGGCGCCGCCACTGTACATACTGAATACTAGGGATGCTCCGATCGATCGGTCGCCGATCGATATCGGCCGATACTCACTCTCTGCCGATCGATTGGTGCTCTCTAAAAATGCCGATCGCATGACGTAAAATGATGACGTAAAATACATGACACTTTTCTCTGTGCGCGGCAAAACAAGCTCGCCAAAATGGCTTCACCAGTCTGGCAGTATTTTAAGCCTTTAAGGTGTCCGAAAATGACAATAAAATATCGGTATGCAACGTGTGTGAAGCAGAAATCCTGCAGCCCCGCCCGCTGTGACGGACCGGTGAGCGGAGCAAAACACACACTAAGAGTTAGACCCAACACACTTAGCTATTTTATCTACCTCTGGAACAAGCTAAACTAGTTATAATAAATATATGTATTCTTCACTGTCGGTCACTCATTACTGGATCAGCGAGCTGCATGAGATACTGACAGGCTGTCAGGAGAGAGAGAGCAAGGGGGAGAGAGGAAAAGAGAGCGCTTCCGCTCATTTCTCCCGTGTTATTATCCAAACTTAATGTAAACTTGAATAATGTACTTCATTTGAATGTAATAATGATGTTGGTTGTTGTTTGTGGAAGCGCCAGTGAATGAGCTCCATTAACTGAGTTGTAAACATCACTTTAAATGGAAGATCCCCGTAGGCCCCGCTCACTCGATCGGATCGGTGATCGGTATCGGCCGATACTGATTCCGGCGATCGGCCCCAAAATTGGCGATCGGAGCATCCCTACTGAATTACTGAATACAAGTATTTATCAATTCATCGTATTTCTCTCATCTACCAGGAAGTTTCTCTGGATATAAAGCCAGGCCAAGTCACTGCCATCGTTGGGCTCAACAGATCGGGGAAGTCCACCTGCGTCAAGCTGTTGGAGAGATTCTACCAGCCCCAAGCAGGGGAGATCCTACTGGATGGGAAACCTCTGACAAACTACAAAGACCAGTTCCTACATGACAAGGTGGGTTGTCACAGGACATTTCTACAGGACCAATTTTTATTAGAATATTTTAAGCTGAAAGTGTCTAATTTGACTTTCATTGAGCGCAATAATCAGAAACGTACAGGACCCATGATGTGTTTTAACCAGGGATCAATGTTTCTTCGAATGCATTCCTACGTTGAATGCGTAAAGACATTAATTTGTATAAATGAGATATCTATTTTTCACCAAGAAGAACAGCATATTCAAACAGTAAAGACTGCATTCAGTTATCAAGTCTTTTGAGAACTTTCTTTATGGCAGAAATATCAAGAAGTGTAATTACTGCATTCTTTTTTTGGGCATTAAGATGAAAAAAGACATAACAAGATACAGCCTGGAAGCTGAAACCTGTAGGTTTATATGTTTGTCACAGGAATATTACAAGAACACTTAGTAGCCATTTCTGCTTATTTTTTTGTCAGATGTTACGCTCATTGTAAATCAACAGTCACACAGCAACTGACGTTTTCTGTGCATCCTGTTTGTTTATAGATTGCTGTGGTGAGCCAAGATTGTGTGCTGTTTGCTCGCTCTGTGCGGGAGAACATCAAGTACGGCTGCGAGGATGCCTCTGATGAGGATATGTACAGAGCTGCCAAGTTGGCCAGTGCACACGACTTCATCATGGAGCTGTCAAAGGGATACGACACAGGTCCGAGCCACGACACAATCTGTTAGCATTCAATCCTTATGTGTAATTCTTCCAATCGGTTCTCTTTACTTCCTGGAATTAAAAGAATATCATTTTTTTGTAATGTTTGCACAATGTTAGAATCATCTACAGATTCTTAGTAGTAGAAAACGTTTGTTTAAGTAACAGGGTGCCTTGTTTTCCTCCAAAAACAAGCTTAGATAGTAATAAAAGTTCTTCAATTTCATTAACATAACACTTTAATATTATTACTGACAGCTCAAATTTAAATCAGGTAATGCATCCATTTATTTTCTGGTATTGTTATATACTACTGGAAAGAAATGGAAAACGTGTTTCAAAAGTAAAGGATAATAAATGTATTTTCAGAAATACAGTTAGAGTAAGTTTAAATCACCTTAGCATGAAAACATGTTCTATAAGAAACAAGTATGAATCTGAAAATTAGAAAGTGCTCATTTAACCAACAGTACATCTTGTGGTTTTTCCTCATGCAATAAAAAATGCACTACTTCCCAAAGATGTACATAAACACAATAACAGCATGCCTTTGTGTCGCACAGATGCCGGGGAGAAGGGAGGCCAGGTGTCAGGAGGACAGAAGCAACGCATCGCCATTGCCAGAGCTTTAATCAGACGTCCCAAAATCCTGATCCTGGACAACGCCACCAGTGACTTGGACACAGAGAATGAATATCAGGTAAGAAATTCTTGCTCTGAGTTTCATACATTTTGCTCATATTAACCAGATTTCTTCATGTAATACTAAGTCATTATTGTACTCAACAGGTGAAGCAAGCTTTGTTGAACCCAACCAACAACTGCACCGTGCTGTTGATATCCAACAGGATGAGTGTTGTAGAGAAGGCCAATCATATATTTGTCCTCGACAATGGTACGCTGAAGGAGGAAGGCACTCACGATGAGCTGTTGAGGAAAGGCGGCCTTTATGCTGAACTGTTGATAAAGCAGAATATGGGCTTTCACCGTCAAGAAGAGGTGAAGAATGATGCTCAGTGATACGTGTGTGCAGGGGTTGCCCTCAAATCAGAAAAGCAGACGTGTTACCGGAAGGTTGCTAGTTAAAAATCAAGACATGAAGAGTCAAAACTCCAGCTTTAAATAACGACTGAGTTGTGTGACCAAAACGTGTACATCAAAGAGTCTTTGAGTTTTTAGAAAAGCGCTATATAAGTGTCATGTATTATTATTATTATTATTATTATTATTATTATTATTATTATTATTATTATCCATACATACAAGTGTTGTGAGTATTTGCCTATTAGGAATATTTCCCTTCTTCATGCCCCTTTGAAGCAGGCGGAGTTGCAATATGCCAATGGGTGTGAATATGAATCATAAGCACATTTTAAGGGTTTGCCAAAGTGCTTCACAACGAACATAACATTATAACTAGGGCCGGGACTCGATTAAAAAAATTAATCTAATTAATTAGAGGCTTTGTAATTAATTAATCGAAATTAATCGCGTTTTTAATCGCATATACATATTTGACCTAAGAACAGTGAGAAGCAATTTTTTTTCACATGGATTTTAGTATACCATTAGGCGCATTCACACCGCAGTACTTTTCCCACAAAGGTTCATGAGAACTTAGTTCATGAGAACTCTTTGAACCTGGGGGTGGATTAGGCAAATGAAGCCGCTGACGTCACTTCTTCTTCTTCTGCTTTGGGTTTACTGGCAGGCCGCAAACCACTTCACGGCGTATACTGCCGCCCAAAGTCCCCGGCCGGAAGTCCCCGGAGTTTGGGACTGGCTTCAGTAGAAGCTGCTGGGAGTCCCAGCAGCTTCTACTGAAGCCTTCCGAGTAAATCGCCAGAACGCCGACACCTCCTCATCTCCACCGCTCCCATGTTTTATTTTGTGTTGCCATAAGTTAGTCTCTCTGCGTTTCTGCGCTGGGCTAATGCTAATAATGCTAATGCGAGGATAATAAAATGGCGGCTTCACAAAACTTTTTGGGAGTTTTACGGGGCGTGGTTTGCAATCCGCCCAGCCAATCAGAAATATAGCTCTTTTCTCACAAGAGAGCCGTACGAAAGTCCCTGCTCTCTAGCAGCTCTCTGCTCTCTAGCAGGGACTTTCGTGGGGGTAAAAAGGTTCTCATTAACTAATTTTAGTACCGGCTCTTTTTGGTGTGAACGCGATAAAAGAGGCTAACGTCCACGCTAGCTTCCACGCTAGCTGCTATATGTTTTTGCATTGAGGTGATACTTGAGGCTTGATGTGCTGCGGTGATATGCGAATTCCTTTTTGCATAATTTGTACACAACCGTGCTCTTATCGACGCTTCCATCCGTCCGTTTTTTAAAACAACATTTCCCACTGTTGTTCACTGTGGTTTGTTGTTGTCTGAAGTCATGAACGTTAGTTGGTGCTCCAGTATAATCGGTACGCCTGAAACTCATCCAGTGAGAAACGTTCCACGGTGCAAAAATAAGTGCGATTAAAATGCGTTAATTTTTTTAACGCGTTAATTTTTGTGTAATTAATTAATCTTAATTAACGCGTTAAAGTCCCGGCCCTAATTATAACTAAATATAATATTACAAGAAATAATCTTGAAGATAGTTTATGACAATCACACACTTGTTTGCTTCATACACACGTTTTATGTTAATATTCTGCAAACAAAAAGCAGAAGTGAATAATAAGATTAGATTAGACTATAATCTTAAATCCCTAGAATAATTTTAGAGATTTAAGATTGTGTGTAATGATGTGATTGTATATATTGTGTATATTTGTGATTGTTTTATCAAATAGGCTTGTTTGATAACTTTTCCCTGCATTTCTACCAGAAAATGTACAATTTCAGTTTGAGCTTTTTTGTTTCTAAAATTATAATACATGGCTAAAAGGGCTGAAATGTAGTTTTTTAAGGAATTCTATTTTTGTAATGATACTCAAACTACTGATCATTTATTTAAATTTAAATGTATTCTGAAGCTTTATGGCTTGACACAACTTAAATATGTGTACATTAAAGAAACTTTTCTTTTAAGGAAATGATTTATGGAACTAGTCATGGGTCATGGCAAACATGCAACAAAGGTTTAATCAAATGTATAATAGAAGAATATCATTTCCGAAATATCGCTAGCACTTCAACTTTATTTATGTTTCTGTTTTTTTATATGTTCATCTGATCCTGTTGGTCTTAATGCAAATATGTGTATATATGGTAAATTGTTAAAAAAAATAAAACATAATAATTCCACCATTCCCTGCAGACAAAATGATGTTCATTTGTTTAAGTAAAGTCGTAATTCTGAACACTTTGAAGCCATAATGTAAAAACTAAAAAGATTCAACGCTGCTATTGTGTTCCATGCATTTTTGTTAGAAAAAGTGGTGGGGGCATTTCTCCAGATTTAACATCAACATAGCAGTGGACTAAAGATGTCCCTCCGAACCTCAAGCACCTGCATGAAAAACCAATGCATAGACCTCTGGACCACCAATGTGTTCTGAAAATAATGAACGCCCAACTATAGGTCTTGTGATGTGATTTGGATTTAATTTGTACCTTTATGCACACAAAGAGCACACAGGTATGGAGGAAAGAATAATTTACCAGCATAAGTAAAACATAAATAAATGCATAAATACGTGAACAAAAACTAGGAATAAATAAACACAAGAAAAATCAATAAATACAGGAATAATAAATGTGGAAATAAATACAGGAATAACTAAGCACAAGACAAATCAATTAATACAGGAATAATAAATACATAAATGTGGAAATAAATACAGGAATAAATATAGACAAAAAAAAGAAAAGAAATACAGGAATAAATAAATAAATGTGGGAATAAATGCAGTGAATTTAAATAAACACAAGAAAAGAAAAGTACAAAGAAAAAATACAAGTATTTCTACATGTATTTTCACTTACATTTATTAAAGTGCAGTGTCTTCGCCCTGCTGCTGCAAAGTGGGAGGAACGTTTTTTTTTTATAATTTAAAATAAAAGTATACTAACTTGTCCAAATTGCACATATTGACACTAAACCAGTGTTCTTGTTTATTACATTCCTTTGTGCACGCTATTTTTCAGAACCTGTACGTTATACTTTTAAAAAGTGGTGGGGACAAAATTGGCCATTTCAAAAAGTGGTGGGGACATGTCTCCAGCCGCAGCGTCCCCAGCGCAAATGACGCCTGTGGCTCCATGGTTCAAATATGACGGAATACAAGATGTACTGACCATGGTAAGTTCTTATTATACATCCATGGTACCGACCATGAAGATGCTGGGCGTGTGCTGTTTGATAGACGTCTAGTTACAGCAAATAGGAAGGCAGTAGTACCACGTGACAGGAAGTACGCAACACTGCCACGCGGAGGTTTATATAAGGTTCAAGCGGAAGCGATAGGTCGCCATTTCATTTTGGGGTTGTTTAGTGGTGTAACAGTGGAAGTGCAGCGTAAACAGTGGTGGAAAAATTGGATTGTAATAACACTCCGCCTACAGGCCAATGGAAGCGGCCGTCAACCCGCATCACGACAGGTAAAGCGCGCTGTAATTTATGTTCACACCTTTGTGAAATGAAACGATGTAAATGTCTTGAAAAAAAGACTAACGTTAGCTTTGAGTGCATCATTTAAGATTAGCTACGTTAGTTACCGTTAGCCCTTCGATAACAACGCGAGCTTGTCAGCAAACGGTTGTCTCTGTAGTCAGTGCCTTGTTTAGCTAGCTTTTAAAGCAGACTATCAAAACATGACTTGTTTACTTCATTGCAGCTAAATATGTTTGCACTTTATATGCAACCCTTTTCTTTTAGCTTCTATAGAGAGCTCGCATAAAGGGAGGCAGATCATGACAGCTGCAGCCCCATCGGCTGGTTCCCCGCCCGGCTTTCTGTCAGTCGGTCATTCATCGCTCAGACACCCTGCACACGCTAATCCCACTACTCATGTGACTATCTCAGAACATAACTGGAAATGTATACAGTCTACCACATGCTTAATACACGTATCTTGCGACATGTAGCAGCCCCATATGCACCGATTTGTCAGGCAGTGTTGCCGTCCAGTGGCGCGTTAGCTGTTTTGTTAGCTTCATAGCTCCTGTTCCGGTGCTATAACGTTTTATGCAGTGGAGAATGAGTGGGATCGACTAACGGAATCACAATGTAGCCTTTCCTATAGCATAATAAGGATTTCTTGTTCTTGATTTGACATTAACTTTCTCCCCATTATTCGTTTCTGTCATTGTGAGGCAGTGTTTACAAACAGTGAAGTGAGGGCGGGGCGTCCGAACCACGCGATCACCAGCTGTTAAATTGTAAAACCAAGAGTCTGACTATTCTTTGTTTTGAAAGAAAACAACGATGCTTTTTAGCTCTATTGTGTGAGAACTGAGACATTTAAGTAACGCTATACGTTTATGCAATGCAGGTTGAAAACACAGCCACATTAGTAACCTGTAACTGTAAATGTTAACTAATTAATAATAACACAGTAGTCTATATCGTATATTAAGACGTTAGGATTCATGCAGCACGATTAATTATCATGACACGACGTAATAGACTGCATTTACTGTAGAGTTGATGAGCAAAGAGGATTATTGATGTGGGAAAGTTGTACTTAAGGTCAACTGTCACTTGAGGCTCAGTTGTCATTACCTGACTACATCATTGTATTGATTGATTGATTGCAAAGTTTATTAACAGCTTGTATATTGGGTACAGTACAGTACAGCTCAAAACATACAATTGTTAAGGGGATGCAGACCAGAGAAAGACTTTCCTCTTGTTTACATCAGGGTCCCCCATTTCCAATTCATCATGTCATTTAAGACATATAAGACATATTTGACATACAGATGGCTTATTTACAATTTACATACAGGTGGTTTTTTACATACAGATTGCTTATTTACAATTTTCATTTTAGATTTCGTTCTAATACATCCTAACCGGACATTTAAGACATACCAAGTCTACAGATATACAGTTAGTAACAGAGTCTAAAATGCGAGTATATACATAGATGGGGGGGGAAGCTGTCCATTGAACGACAGGTTGAGATTTGTACCATTACCGGGGCCAGTTTTGCAATGCTCTCCCCCGAAGGTGCTCTTTAAGAGAGGTTTTGAAGGTAAGTATAGTTTTACTTTCCTTTACAGTTGTGGGAAGAGCGTTCCACCTTGATGTGGCATAATTGCGAAACGTGTATTCCCCCTTTTTTGTGCCAAATCTGGGTTTCACATGATTTGTGGAGCTCCCTCTGGTGTTATGATCATGGTATTCCTTGACCTTTGGGAAGAATGTTGACATGTACATGGGTACCATAGTGGTGTAGTGGATCTTGTAGACCAGGCCCATTGCAAGTAGCTGTACTCTGTCGTCTACTCTAAGCCATCCTAGGTTGTCAAAGTGGGCAGAGGTGAGGTGGTTTCTAGATGAAAGGTCAAGCAGTAGTCTGACCAGTTTATTTTGCGATGTTTGAAGTTTTATTTTTAGCGCCTTGGAGG